TCCTTGGTTACATAAAAACAAAGTTTTAAATCTCTGAATTTTGCATATTTCCCTAAATATATCTCTACAAGACATTTGGACTTTGAAAGTGCCTTTTAATTTTTAAATATGCTACTTCATTGCAGAGAATTTTTCCATGAATGTTCTCTTCCTTCTCAGTATGTAGGGGATAAAATAGCAATGCCAGGGTTTATTCATGAGTCTTTAGACAACTTAGCCTTGAAGCATTTATTCTTTAATTTTCAACTGGGATGAAGCTGCTTCGTTTTCTATCCTTTTCTGCAGCTCCATCCTCTAAACAGGTCAACCGTACTACAGGGCACTTGAACTGAATTTCAGCTTGACAGTTGATTTAAGCCAACTCTGACAATAGCAGGAGTGATGGGTTTATTTGAATAAAATATGTATTTATGTCCATCTTAAACAGTCCATGATGAATACCAATTTTCTTAACTGGAGAGACTGCTAATCATCTTAAGATTTCTTCTCCTCTTCCACCCCCACAGTAAAATAATATGAGAGTGCACCCTAGTATATTCTATTCTGAGACTACCTAAAGCAGTGCTTAGCATGCCTCTTATTATATAAGATGTGAAGTCTCAGCTAGTTGTGTCAAGGCGATGAGTAGGCTGAATTTAGCATTGCAAGCAAAGCTCTTGAAATCAATAAGAAAAAGAGAGAGCAGCAGAGCCAGATAACAGCAATATAATTGCTGCTGTAAACATGCTTTACTGAACTGTTGTCTTTAGCTAAATTCAGCTCTGCCAGAGGGCAAATAGCTCAGCATCTTGAAGACAGCCCAGTTTGGAGGGTTCTATTCTGATCTGGAAAATAATTTTATGCCTCTCTAGCAGAAGCAAAGCTTCACCTCCATTTTCTGAGTGTATTTAATACCGTTGCCCTGTTCACTGAAATCTGTTTTTGAAGACCGTGCACCCCAGCTTTATATAAATAGTTAACTTGCTAATCATGTAAACTACCTTACATATCATTTTTTATTAACAAATATTAGTTTGAAGTTAGGGTGCATCAATCAAGCACACAACCTGATCTGGATCAGTATCAAAACCTACTGATTTTAGTGGATTTCGATTATTTGAGGGGTTGTGCATGATGAGGTTCCACTGAAATCTGAGATATAAGTGCATTGTTGGGTGAATATGTTCCCTTTTATTTCAGTGGGATTTAGGTACACCTAATTTTGGATTATTCCCATTTTACTGTTTCTGAAATTGCAGTTTAGTGTGTATAACTAGTAAGTGACTTTCCTGTATCCAGTTTGGAATGAATGCATTTCAAAGTTGTTTAATTAAGACAATGTGTGTTAGGCATCTCAAATTTTTAATCGCTTTTGCGAATCATTTGGAAATTGGGAGTCTACCATGGTCAGGAGATCTTGCCAATGCCTTACACTGAACAAGAGTGGCAGGGTTAAATGCTTTTATTTCCCATGGTGTCAAGCCTTGGGTCACTTCTAGGGTACAGTGGGGCATAGAATCTAACTCCCTCCTGATCTAGGTAAGATTTTCCCTGCCCCAGTAATACAGACACTCCCATTCAGCCTTTGAAGAGTGGAGGCTGCAGGAAGTATATGTGGCACATTCAGAACATCTGGGTACCACTAGAGCTGTAGTTTATGGGAATAGTCAAGCTTTTTTGACTCCGGTGTCTGAGAGAGGAACTCCAATTCCTGTCTTCCTATCTGTACACACTAAAGTTAAGAGTAAGGTTGAAATATTCAGGTTTCCTTGGGAAGGGCTTGAGCAAAGAGTCAAAGGATATCTTAAAACTATAATTGTATTAGCAATAGATGGTTTCCTACTGAGCACTTTACTGGAAATGTCTGTTCTTCAGCCACCAAAGCAGAAACAACCTGAAGGTGTGGAACAGTGAATAAAATACCTTTTGAGCTACAGCTTAGTATGGAGTAGACTGGGGCAATCTTACCCATGAAGCTTATTAGTTAAAACTTGTCAGTTGAAACTTTATTTTGAATTTCAGTGATTTTTACCACTGTGTACCTTTCTCTACATGATTATTTTTTACTGTGTATTTGGCATTTACATTGTCACAAAAGGCACAGCCGCACTAATCAGCCCATTTCTCCCTGCTCCACCTATGCACAAACTCCTCTGGCCTTAACACATCCTACAACATTGAGTATTCATAGTGCTGCTCTAGCTTAACATTCAACGGTTGTAGCACTTTCAAGTGAAACGGCTTATGATTGATATGGTGGTTTTTGCATGCTCATATCCCTATCCAGCTGCTGCATCTTGATGGATAAATGGACTGAGATAATCAAAGGAGCAATTTAGATTTAAATATTGCCACAGGCTCAGCATCAGATTTGTTTCCTAATGCTCTTGAGTGCGCACCATTTAGCTGAGGTTCATTGCCACTTAAAAAAAGCCAATGTAGTTTCTGGCTGCTTCAACCCTAGGTTGAAAAAAACACCAATAAGTTCTGTGTCAGTAGGGGAGCAAATACATTGTTAACTAGGAATTGGCATGTTAAACACTGCGAGCAAAAAAGAAACTTGCTATATATTGTACAGCAGCATAGATCCTCTAAATGGAACAGGCATGATAAGTAAACCATCATGCACACTTCTATTCGTCAATAATAACTATTCTTTGATACAGCTTTGAATACCACACAAGTTTTTTGCTTACAAAATAATATATTTTACTTTGATTACAATAAATAAACTGGAGAAGAGAATTTCTGTACATCTCTTAATACAGGAAAAACCTGTTTTCTGAATTGCCTAGAGAGGAGGGGAACTCTTCGACAGTCCTAGATCAGTATTTTCATTTGATTGCCAATCGCAAGAGTGTTAAAAAAAAAACTCTCAAGGGTTTAAATTGTAGCAAGTCAGAAGTAAAACCTATTTTTCTTAATCTCAGCCAAGAAGAAAGCTAGCCCAAAGTTTAGAATCTGTGAAGCTTATTTCATGGTCCTTACACAATTGGTAGCCAAACAGCCAGATTCAGTGATTGCCCAGCAAGGTGTGTGACTTTGAAATATCTGTCACACCGCAACATATTGCTGGTGGGGCAGTACTGGGCTGGATGAGAAACAAGTTATGGAGACCTTTTCCATAGGACACCCTAGCAAAGATAACATTGAAGCCTCATTTACAAGTATGCCAAGTGCTGCAGTTAGAAGGCTGGAGAGGCTACATGGATTTAGCAGATTGCAATATAGGTCAGCATTACAGGATACTTCTTAAACTCCTTTCCTTCCTTAGACCAGCAGATTATGTGCCTGAAGAAAACACTCTGTTAGCCTTGTGGCTCTCGCTGCAACATTACAAATTGATTCTCTCCCCCCCCCCCCTTCTTTCTTTCCTAAGACCTGTGTGTGGACAGAACTTTGCAAAATTGAAAGAAATTTCCTGAAGCCTTTGCACACTGGACTTAATATGTCAAGAGCACATTATGAAGCAGAAATAAAGAATAAAAAAGAGAACAAAAGAGGTTAGTTGACTTCATTATTTGTGTGTGTATGTAAGGTTTAGAAATTGTGTGCAAGTAGATCGAGGCAGGAAAGGCAGACTGCATTTTAGACAAAAGACTATAGAGATTAAAAGAGATAAAAGCTGACATATTTGTCATGATTTTTGTGTGAGACTGCAGTCCTGTACCATCTGTCCTGGCAGCATTTCATCAAGGCTTTAGGCAGAGATCTTTCCCTGAGATCTTTAAATGAAAATGGACTGAGACTAAGATGTTCTGATGGCCAAACCTGTACTCTGCCATTGGAAAGTAGTTATTTTTGGTCACAAAGATCAGAAATCTGTGGCTCTTTAAAAAAAAATAAAGTTCAGAATTGATTTTGCCATATGATGCGCGTTTGTCTAGTTTTGCCTATCAAGTAGACACACACTTATTCTTGTGTGAATCTCATGTTATAGAATCTCATGTTTCCAAGAAGATTTGCTCTTTAACAGTAGCTGGAGAAAAGATGCCACACATGACAACTGAAATGGAGCTTCAGGTGAGTGGTCTAGTTTTGGAGAAGCTGTTAAAATGTCGGAAGGTGGGCTTTAGGTTTCTTTTGTATTCAAAGTGAATACAAACTGGTAAATATGCAATAAATAACATTAATTTTCTCTAATATTTCAGGTTCTACACTCAGCTCTTTACACGTTTGATTTGATAGAGAGTGTTCTTGCCAGGGTAGAAGAACTCATTGAAACCAAAACAACTGCTGCAGCTGAAGAAACTACTAGGATCAAGTGATGCTTTCTACCTCCCTTATCCCAATAGTGTTTCACATTGTGCACTGTTTCTAATTCTGTCATTATGACTTTGCTTGAAAAGATAAAAATACCAACCTTCTAAGTATACACCAAGTCATCATTGTATAGCTGCTGGAAAAGAAGGTCCAAGAATACTTTTTCTGCACCTTCAGATTTGAATGGAATTGTTAAACCTGACTGGTATTTTTACAAAATACGTGTAGAAGTGTGTCTTAGCATTCATTAAAAATGCCTGGCCAAGATCAGTGAAAGGAAGCCTCCGGCAATGGTTTTTTTTTGGCAGAACTCCCAGGAGCATCTATAACTATGAGGTTTCATGGGTGGGTGGGTAACACACTGAACTTTTTCATGGCACAGCCTGTTTTATAACCCTACTGTGACATAAAGCACATGATTCAATGTAATGGCAAAACCGAAATGGGAATATGTGTTCTATCTCAAGGATTCTTTTTCAGTGACCAGAACTGCAGAAGATTTTCATTTTTCCCCCTTAGGCACAGGTTTATACACACCCTGTGGTGGGCCTCTAATTTTCACCACCCAAAATACACCATGTAGAAAACAGCCAACCTATTTGGTACAGACCTCAAGTATTCAGAAAATAGCAAGGAAAAAGCAAAAAATAAAAGTGATAAATTCCCTTACTGGCATTACATCACACCCACAAGAAAAGTAAGAGAACACAAATGCCTCAAGATGTAGGATATGGAAATAAATATAAATTGGCACGTGCTGTATTGACATTAGAGAGAGTACATTCTAAACTTGCAGTGTAGCTACTAAGAACCCATTTCAGTTATCATAGAACTGATTCGGAGATATATAGCAGCACTGTTAGATGTAGGCAGATTAAGCAGTTACTTGGAGAAAATTGAATCACCTCATAGCTGCAAGGTCCACCAGCGTATCATTATGATGTTACATTAAGATGACATAAAGGTGAGTTATCCTATCTACCATTTCAGCTATGAGTAAATTCTTCACTGCAAATTTCCTTGGTCATTTCTGGAAATATATCTGAGCAAGTACAAGCGGATCAGAATGAAAAGTCTGGGAGATGGGAGTTCATTGACTTAAATATACAAATTGTTTAGTAAGGGATTTTCCTTTATTGAAATAAAAGAATAACAAGTTCTAAATAATTCTTAGAAAATAAAATATTAAATTGGGTAGGCTACAACTATGCCATTTATTTGCAAAGTTATGTACATTTTTTAAAGGTGTTACTCTTGAATAATGACCATTCTTCCTCAGTATTTTACATCTGGCTATCAATTTCAAGTGAACAGTAATATGTCTTGGATGGTTATACAGGAAATTAAACTAAGAAATCCCACACTGATTTTAATTCTTAATGTAACATCCAGAAATGCACTTTCCAAAGTGACATGCTTATTGCTTTGTGGATACATTTTTTTAAAGCACAAAATTGAGACTATTTTGCAAATAAACATGGCCAAACTTTTTTGAATAAAATATTAAGTGGTGTTTACAAAACTACAAGCCAGTTGACTTTGATGAAGCATTTTCCAAACACAGCTTTGTTCTACAATCTGTGTCTTTGCCATTAGCATTCTGTAGCGAATGTTGTCCAGATGCGGTTTTGAAGTAGTCTTTACAAGGAGAGAAATAAAGGAGGTTATAGTAATGGTTTGTGCAATTAATACACCATAAGAGTTGAAAATAACTTTGGATTCTTTCTGCAAGAAAGAAAGATCCTGAGGGAAAGTACTAAAGAGGGTTTGTAAAATAACAGATTTTACTTGCAGGGTCCTGTTTCAGAGAATTTTGGCTTCTATTTTGAAATGAAAGTCTACAAATGACTCGTCTTCAAGTGACTAGATTTTAAAAGGCTTAAAATGTAATACTTTAATTCTGATTTTATATTGGTGTGATTGAAAGAAAAACCTTAGGTTAAACTGAAGTAACTTTAAAGGAACAAGGAAGAGCATAGCTTAAAATAGTCTTAGTCTTTAATTCTATTTCTGGTTTTGCTGCAAAGTAAACTACAGGGAACACTTTTTAAAAATTAGGTACGGTATGTATGCAATAATAATTGCCAGAAGTATTTATGTAAAAGTACTGTATCTTATTCATATATCACATTAAGCATTAGGTCCTATATGTATCTGCCAGTCAAGTATCTATAATTCGTATTACAAGCACCAAATAGCAAATAACTATTTTATTCACTTACATGTCACTTTTCCTCCAAGGATATCCTTGGTTATTCTTCCCACCCTCCTTTAAAAATAAATAAATCACAATAGCCCTGTACGGGTTAGCCAATGAGTTTCATGACTGAATAGGAATTTATATCAGAACCTTCCCTGTTCTTGTTTGGCACTGAAAACACTAAACCACATTGGCTCATTTTAGATGCAGTTACATGCTTAGCATGTATGAGAGACTTTTCAAAAAAGTATGTGGAAATCCTATTGATGTATTCTATATTGTCATAGCTGTTTTGCTGTACGTTATTATTTGACAATAAAATTCTGCTACTTACTTTTGCTATAGTTAGCATGAGTTTAATAGCTTCAGCGGTATTGTGGACTGGGATTATTCGTAAATTGGTGCCTAGGAACCTGAAACAACCCTCAAAATGTCAATCATGCTAAGTACAGTATTCATATTTTTTACAGCATGGACAAGAATTGGAGCATGCTGTTACATAAGGGTATGTTAATACGATTGCAGCAAATTGGGATTTTGCAAAAGCTGGTACTTCATTTTCACTAGGATTGGGATAGCAGAAGGTAGTTGAAGTCCTTCCCTACCACTGCTCCCAGGCTTGGAGCCTGACATCCAGGAATTCTCCTTTCTCTATATTTTCTTTGCACCAAGAATTCAGGTGATGGAAAAGACGCCTTCCTTAAACCCCAGGCGGTCACTACAATCAGGAGTACACAGTACTGAGCTACATGGAAAACAAGAGGGCTACACCACAAGATGAAATAAAAAGGAAAAGGCCAAGCTAAAGGGTCACCCAAAAAAAATTCCAATTTTGTTTATTTCCCAAAGTGTTTCAGCATTGTCTTCAGCAAGATGTTATTTGCGGACGTAAGGTTTGCATGAAGTGTTTGCCCAAGTTGCAGGCAAACAGAGAGAGGGCAGGGGAGGAGGAATTTAAACAATGAGGTCAGAGGGAAATTAAACGCAGAGGAGAACACACAGAGATAATTATGTTACTAATAGTGGCCATTACGATCAGATGGGACAATTTCCTAGCTCACTTTTAAGACTTTGAACGTAAACTTAATATTAAACCATCCACTTAATATTGAAGCATCCTGTTAACTCCAGGATATGCTCTGTTCTTGCAGTACTACAGTGGTACCTCTGGTTACATACTTAATTCGTTCCGGAGGTCCATTCTTAACCTGAAACTGTTCTTAACCTGAAGCACCACTTTAGCTAATGGGGCCTCCCACTGCTGCTGCGCCGCTGCTGCACGATTTCTGTTCTCATCCTGAAGCAAAGTTCTTAACCCGAGGTACTATTTCTGGGTTAGCGGAGTCTGTAACCTGAAGTGTATGTAACTTGAAGCATATGTAACCCGAGGTACCGCTGTACTGCCATGCCCTCAGGTTGTACTACCCCTGCCAATTGCTTCTTTGTTGGCATAATGATCTGTATTGCTAGACTTTCAAAAGCGTAATTCTAATTTTTAGACTATTAGAACTCTTCTTGCAGTCTTAACACATACTTGATTGGAAGTAAGTCTCATTGAAATCAACAGGATTTACTTCCAAATTGCCTTCCAAGGATAGGACCCTCAGTCTCTGAAAAGGTAACGCAAAATGGTGTTATCTTGTACTTAGGGAATGATGACTTGTTAAATTTCCAAAATTGCCTCATGTTATCAAACTTGAGTATGCCAAGTCATACTGACCGAGATGCATCATTTTCTTATAAACTGCAATATGACAACGGGGTTTTTATTCTTTGGCTAAATTCTTTGAGCAAAATCAAATTCACCTACATCTTTGATAATTAAGCAAACATTTCATATTATTATACCTAGTTTCCTTTACTAATAAAACAAACTATTGACGATTTTTTAAATTTCATACCTCTGCTGAACTCTGAACATCCCATCCCATTCTTTTGGTCCATGACGAGCAGCTGACAAAAGCAAAAATCCATTCCTGTGAATGGTCATGAACTTCTTTATTCTTTCAAATAAAACCTCTCTCTCTGTGAAAAATAAGCCTTGAGCATCGACCAGCAAAAATGCAATTCCTGGGCAAGAAGAAATATGGTGATCAAGTCAGACTTAACTGCATATAAAAAATAGTCAAATACATATATAGTTGGTATATCTACTATTGAAATAGTGTTTTGTTCATATAAAGCTGTAGTCCTAGGCATATGTATGTGGAAGATAGACTCATTGCTAGTCTTTCATCCATTTCCCAGCCTGTTTATTTGGAAGCCCCATACAAACAGATGAAAGGGGGCTAATTGTTTCTACAGTGTCCTGATCCTATCTGCTTAGTTTATTACAGTGATTCTCAAATTAGGATAGGAAGATGAGGAACACATTAAAAAATTATACATGAATTTGCTTGTCTTCCTCTTTCTTCCTCATCCTTTTTCCTTTTGTGTGATGTCTATTTACATTTTAAACCCATGGGTAGGGACTTTTAAACAGAATTTAGTAAATTGTTGGTGATTTATTTAAGTGGACAAAATAATAACAAACAAGTGTTTTTTGTTGAACTGTACTATGAAACCCAACATTCATAGCTTGAAATGGTTTAAAATTATTCTGCCTTATAAGTCTACAGGATCATTTTCTGCTATTCATATCTGGCTACAAGCATTCTAAAATTTCCTTCAGATGTGATTATGTCCAGTTTGAGAGAAGGATAACAGTCATTACAAATTTCTTGGCTTTGGGGGATTTCTAAAGGGTCAGTTATGGAGACTGAGATTATGCCCTCCATAAAATTCACTGGGTGTAAAGCATATTGATACTCTGACCCAAATTATGTTGTAGGGATGCTGCAAGACCACCATGTGTACAACGTGTCACTCTTAATTTCCATATTGAATTCTACAGTTTAAGTAGCACTGTAAACCGCTTTGAGATTATAAACACACACACAATCAAGTAGCATATATATTTAATGAAATAAATATAAAAAATAAATAAATACATTAAATGAAATATAAATAAATTCATGTGTGTGTGTGTGTGTGTGTATAGATAGCTATAGATATATTATATTATATTATATTATATTATATTATATTATATTATATTATATTATATTATATTATATTATATTATATTATATTATATTATATTATTAATGGTCACATTTCCCATAATTTAAGATACTCTACCAGAAAGAGAGAAAATTATTGATCCATTTTCCACTGTATCTGAATATCGAACCCGGTGTTGCTGATTTTGTAGGGACATTGAAATTTCATGACCCTAAATAAGTTATAAAATACAGGATTAAAACATGCTCACCAGTTCTAAACAAAGTTAATTGGGTCACTTCGAGCTCGTATTATAATGACAAAAAAGAGAGACAGCGTTGATCATTTTTTAACTTTTACTCCTCTTCCCACTAAGCTAACATACAGTGGTACCTTGGGTTAAGAACTTAATTCGTTCCGGAGGTCCGTTCTTAACCTGAAGCACCACTTTAGCTAATGGGGCCTCCCGCTGCCACACGATTTCTGTTCTCATCCTGAAGCAAAGTTCTTAACCCGAGGTACTATTTCTGGGTTTGCGGAGTCTGTAACCTGAAGTGTATGTAACCCGAGGTACCACTGTATATTATAAAACATGCATCCTTTTCATTAAAATATTGCTCATTATAACCAAGGTGCTTTATGTTTAGCTTGCCATACAACAGAACTTAACAGTTGTCCCAGTTGCAGCCTGGAGAGCCATCCATTAAACTCCCCAATGCAATGAGAAAATGTTTGAGTCTTCTCCTGTCGGTTCCTCCTGCCTCTGTCATCCCATTCCCCTTCTGTTCATTAAAACAGTCGGGAAAGTAAGGTGGACCCAGAAAAAGGATAGGAATGGGCAGAAGACGTATTCCAAATGCAGCAGGAGCTTTTAAAGAAGGCCTGTTTTCCATCAGCCCCAGCCAGAGATGTTGCAAGCTGTAGACCAGCTGCATCCGGAGGGTCACAGATTACCCAGGTATCCTATCAATCAAGTTTTCATCTTAAAATAAGCTAGCCAAGTTTCTTTCTATTCTATCAATCAAGAACAATGTCAGCTTGTGCAATGACAGTGTACTGCCTCCAAGAACTGTTCCTGTCAACAAGAAAAGGGAAACTAATAAAAAAAACTGCATTAAAAGAGTAACAAAGATCAACATTATAGATTAATCAATCAAAATGCTTCCTGAAAGCAAGGAGAACCCAGATAAAAACATCTATAGCACTTTCTGCATCGCCTGTTTGTCATTATGACTGTTCATTGCATCCTGTAATTGCTATTAACGAACTAAAGGAAGGCTCCAGAGGGGAAAAGGAGGGAAGGGGAACACATTGGCGAGCACTGGCTGTACTAACAAAAAGTCAATGCAAAAGCCACTTTGTTTGTTGGGAAGCAGGGATGGCCTCAGGTGGGCAACAATTCTAAATGTCACGGAGGTGCTGCTGCTGCTGCTGCAAGTGTTGGAGGAAGAAAGGGTTTCTTACAACCTGATAGGAAGTGGCACTTAACAGCCATAACAGAGTGCATCCCCCACATCCTCCCTGATGTAAAAGTCTTCCAAGTGCAAAACACAACTCTTATAGACTCCAGCTCACTCACCCTATTTTCTTTCAGTCACTTTTACAAATTGGGAACATCCCAAGAAGGGTGGAAGTTAGCCCCCAACTATTTATTTATTTAAATTTGCTTTTATACTCCCAGGAGCTCAAGGTAACATACATGGCTCTCCTCCTCTCCATGTTATCCTCAAAACCACCTGCAAGGTAGGTTCTGATGACAGGTAGTGACTGACCCACGGTCACCCAGTGAGCTTGATGACTGAGTGAGGATTTGAACCCCGGTCTCCCAGGTCCTAGTTCAACGCTATTTGTCAGAACGAGTCTTTAAAGGAAAATTAGAGAAGTTGTTGTGTGCTACTGGGCATGCCTCTGAATACCAAGTTGCTGGGAAATAAAAGTGGAGTGTGTGTTATTGCACTCATGTCCTCTGTTGGGCATCCAATAGGCATCTGATTGGCCACTCTGAGAAGAGAATGCTGGATTAGATGGGCCTTTGATCTGATAAAGCAAGGTCTTCTGTTTTGTGCTTTTGTTCTAGCCAGGCCATTAGTGTTTTAGATTCCATTGAAATGGGCATATTAATATGGTCGATGCTCTTTGATCATGACATTTAACCCCTCTGGAGTGTTTGGGCTGGGGGGAAAGCACAGGAATATACGAAGTCTACTCTGCTGTAAACATGCTTTATCAGAAAATCTCACTTCTGAACACTGATTTAGCGGAATTAAAATATTGTTATGCGTTTTGGGGGATTAAACTAAAACACCTCCTGGGGCCTCTTCCAACTCAGTACTGTAATTCTGCAGCTATGAGACAGGTCTGGAGAAGAAGAAGACTGGTAAAATCGACAAACCAGTTTCTTTCGTTAAGTAAATAGCCCTAGCAAGATCTGTTTAGTATCCCCTTGGTAATGTACGCTAGGGTCAATATGATGCCACAGTAACTAAATAATGAGATACTTGTGGAAGGGGAGTGCTAGAGCAAAAAAAGCAAGTGTATTTCTGTGCCTTCCCCTGGCCACTTGGGTTTATTTGACGATAAGAAAGAGCACAATTGATTGGCAATTTTGGACTCAAACTGAGGTCAGAACTGTGGGATTTCTTGGGAGCTCTGAAGGAGCTGGATGCCCCCCTGAAACCTAATGGGATAGCAGTGTCAGCTGGACTGGTTTAACCTGAGTACCCTCTGCACTTTTGGAGTCTTCACTGCTTACAGAATTGTGCTTCCCATTACACTATGCTTCAATCCCAGTCAATTCCTTAATGCAACACAGTGGTTAGTTTTAATTTAAAAGGTGGTGGGTCTTAAATCTGTTTGCAGACTACCCTCTCTAATCTGGAGGCCTTAATCCCAGTCATATGAGGACATGGTAGAGCTGTGTTCTGACACTGTTGTTAAGGTTTGATGCCATGGTGCTCTCTTCTATATTAGGTGTTCCTAGAAAGGGTGGAATACACAGCCCCATTTATTTTGTGACCCTTTGCAAGGCTAGAGCAACTTGTACGAAAAAATGACAGGATACAGTACCTGAAGAGATGAACTCACAATTACGGTTGCAGTCCACCGTGTCTTTTCTTGCCCACTGCCTTCCGCCATGTTGACACAGTCACCAAAGTTTCTGCAGTACCAGACACTTACGGAACACTACAAACTGAGAAGGGAAAGTAGTGGGACCTTCGTTTGCATCTTATAAATAGCATTAATATAACAGGTCACGTTATACTGAGTTTTGATAATGCTAGAGGACAAGTAAAGTGCAAAGAGAAGGTGTCATTTACAAAATATAAGAGAGGAACTCCGCTTTGGGCTGGAATTCTAAGCACACTTAGTTAAGAGTAAGTCCCATTGATCTCAATGCAGCTTCAGATTAGACATGTGGAGCTCTTGACTATTTTGAGCCCTGGGAAACGGTGCACTCCCTTTCAGCTGTGCAACACATTTGTACATGTACCAGAAACAAGCTTCCATTGAATCAAAAAGGCCTTGAAGAGAAAAAGGCACTTTCGCCAAGTGCAGTCCTTGTTCTGGTTATTACTATGAGTCAATCAAGCACTGTTAGTGATACTCTGAGGCACACTATAACTTCAAGGTGGCTCAGCAATACAGATCCCAACGATCTGAATGCAGAGTTTGCAAACCATCTATGAACGAGACTGTCATAAACATTTAGGAAACACGCAGGCCTAACACATACCCTCCAACATTTCTCCGATGAAAATAGGAACATCCTAAGGAAAAGGGGGGGGGGTATTCTGGGTTCAAATCAGAAACCAGGATGGCTTCTCTAAATCAGGGACGTCCCTGGAAAATAGGGACACTTGGAGGATCTGCTAACAGAGCTAATAATTCTGTGGGCATTCAAGTTTTTTCACCTTTTCCCATACAGTAAGCACCTTTTCGGTTACAACATTAGGAAAAGGTTAGGGTACTAAGTGAGACACACTCCACAGAGAGCATATCATTATAATTTGTTGCAAATTAACTCATAAAGTCCCCATTTACCACTCTGGGGTAAGGGTACTTTAATTCTAGGTTTGCCCCTTTTCTATTCTACAGAGGCACTGTGTGTTTCAAAGTGTGGCAAAGTGGATATTTTGAATATACTGTGCATACACCAAAGAGACCCTAGCTTCAAGTTCTGATTTGGGGCAAGGAGTGCCAGCAACCCTGGGTGCCCTTGAGGTTTTTTGGGGAACAACCCAAATTGTCAACTTTTTCTGTGGAAACCTCCCCACACCAAATAGTGTTTTAAAGCTTTTGGAACTGTTTCCGCTGCTTTTTCCATTGCGTTACCATACATCCGGGTTTTCACTGACATTTTTGCCGATTCGGCAAAATCCCCCCCCCCCGCGCGCGCGCCATTTTTACACCTGGAAACATGTCAGGAAAATTCCTGACGCAGGACAAGCCTATGATTCTTATTATGAAAACAAAGACAACAAACATTCTGTTGTTGCGCCTGTAACCTTGGTTTAACGTGCCATTTAGCTTTCATATTTCCATTTCTAACACTGCTTATGAAGTTAGAATTCTAGTCGGCATTATGGCATTGTGAGTCATGCCAGTCAAGAATGGCTTAGTAATTCCTCTCATGTTCAATAAAAAGCGGCGTACAAGAGAGAGCTTGGATGTGGCAGATTTGTCACTAAGGCTTGCTAAGGACAGTGTGGGAAGCGAAGGTTTCTATAGCTTCCTAATCTATTGACTCTCATTTCTACTTAGCCCAGGCCCTGCGAAAGCTGAGCTCTGGCCCCTCATTCAAGGTCCCCCTCACAACTTTTCTAAGAGACACCATTATAGAACGCCAGTAATGGAGGCTGTCTTTGAGGCCTAGCTCTGATGGCTCCCTCTTCTGGTATCACAGCCAAGGGTGCATGGTTAACTTGCCAGTGGCACTTGCAGAATATAACCCTACACAACTTTTCTTTCCCTCACCCTGTTTATTTGTTTTTAAAACTGGCAACTTTCAATTTACAGACAAATTCAAAAAAGCACGCCACTGAGGAAACAGTGTTCTCCTTTTGTCTGGGCGCAATGAAATGATGTTTCTGTTTTAAACTCACTCTCAAATTCTGGATTGGGGGGGGGCAAGGTATTGGGATAAACAAGGGATCTCCTTCTCCACTCTTCCCCTGTGATATATGGATGAAGGGTGGTATACAAATTTAATAAAAATGGGGGGGGGGGGGAATGAATAGGAACTCAATTGTTCAACTCCGCTCCCGCATTCCATTCCTTCTCCTCCTTACTTTACTTCAACAAGATTCCCCAGTACTGGTCCTTAATTTTTTTTTTTAAAACCCCACTCTACACTTACAGCTGAATGAATTTGATAAATTATGTAGATGTATCCCCCATAACTGACTAAATTAACTTAAGGCAAAAGCAGAATTACTACTAAAATCAAATGCTCAGTTAAAGAATGCTGGGTTTTTGTTTTTTTAAAAAAGCAGGACAGGGTTAAGGGTTAATGTTACAGAGGATTGTTGTAATAAAACTTTGTGTTACTGCTTGTGATCATGTTCGTGTGAAAGTCTATTCTATCTAAAGCATAAAAAAAAAATCAATAAGGAAATTAATAAATTACACAGTATCAGGTTTCCCCATTCAGAACAGAAAGGCAAACTATCCAGGGAAAAGACTGAAGGCGCTACAACAAAAGGGTCAAAGCTTTTCTCGATATAGGAATTGTAATTTTAGTTCGCTGATCCGAAAGCCTGCTATTTCAAACATTTTCCTGCAAGGGGTATATTTGGAAAGAAGCCTAGAAATCTTATAGGAAGGTAGTCGTGCTTAAGAATACTGGAGCATACTAGCTTGCATAGTATTCATCTACATTCGGTGTCTCCTCAGTTCTTGTGCCTTCGCAAGAAAAATGGCGAGGCAAACTCCCTTCTTCACTCAGTAACGGGGTCAGCCCAAACATTCAACCGAGTGAGGCAACCCCTCAGGGAGCAGATGCTGGGGGGCAACCGTAGCAGCCCCTCCGCTGTTCCACCTTAACCCAACAAAGATTGCCCCATTGCTGAGGGACCTAAATGTGTAGACAGCCTTCTCTCCCCACTCCTTAAACTAGCCAACTTCCCTCAAGTGTGGTGGAAGAGAGTGTCCTTTTATGTGGAGATAGCAGAGACTGCCCTAAGTACGGTCTTGCTTAGGGGTGTTGTGTCGGGGTGAGAAACTGCTAGAAAGAAACTGCTAGATGATGGAGGAAGAAGTGAAAGAAATGATGATTAAACGGTCTCAGCATCTTGGACATACTATCTATCTAGAGCAGTGTTTCCCAACCACTGTTCCGCGGCACACTAGTGTGCCGCGAGATGTTGCCTGGTGTGCCGCGGGAAAAATTTAAAAATTGAAAGATTATTTTTTTTAAAGTCAAATTTTCGATTGGGGCGCCGTCACTAGATGACCCCTGGGGTTCCCTCCCTCCCTCCCGCTCTGCGCCTCCCTCCTCCTCCTCCTCCTCCTCCGGGGAGGCCCTTCCTGGCTCTCGGCCAAGGCTTGGCGGCTGCCACTCACTCACTCGCTCGCCCACCCGTCCCTCCATCCCTGCACCCGGCCTCTCCCCCTCCGTCCCCGGCGCGGGGGCTGCTGGGATCCGTAGTCCCCTCGCCCTTGGGCTCCGCGCCCGCGCGGGGTGCGCAAACTACGTTTCCCAGCGTGGCCTGGCGGGCCGGGCGTTTTGTTTGAAGCACTCTTCTCCCGGCCATGGAATGAGCGCAGCGGTGGCGGCCGGGCGGGCAGGGGCTCTTCCGCGCAGACCCCGCGCAGCCTGCCTGCGCCCCCCGGAGATCGGGCGGCAGGATGGAGCCCGGGGATCCCCGCGGAGGTGGAGCGGCGGAGGCGGAGGCTGCCCCCCAGGTAGGGCTGCGTCGGGGTTTTTTTTATTTTTGCAATGCTGCATCCGCACCGGAGGGGACGCATCGGACCGCGGGGAGACCCCTTGGCGGGCGTGCAAGGCAATGCATGCGTGCAGGCGTTGCATGGAGTGCAGTGCAATGCAATGGCAACGCGGCGCCCTGCATGCATGCATGCAACTTCCACCGGCGCTCCGGACTTGGCAGGTGAGGGGGGTCCCCAGTGGGCGGCAGAGAGAGCCGGGAGGGCGAAGGGGAGCCAGGGGGGAGCAGCGCTGCTCCCTGAGCCGAGCCCGGGGGGAAACTTCGGCGTCGTTGCGCCGGGTGTTGGAAGCGGAGGCTGGCGGGGGCCCCTCACCTGCAAAACCTGGTCGCCTCTCATATATTTCGTGCATTGCATTCATCGCCCGCTTTCTCCTCCAAGGAGCTCCCGGGGGCGCGCGTGGTTCTCCCCGTGTTATCCTCGCAACAACAGCCCTGCGAGGTGGGTCAGGCGAGTGGCCCAAGGGAGCACCCAGGGATTGTCCTGGCCAGGTGGGGTGATTTGAACCCTGCTCTCTGCCCGGTCTTCGTCCTCATTTAGCCCCCACATGTGCATGACTGTGCATGACTGAGGTTTTCCCCCCTCGTCTTGGCTATGGTGTGAGTCTGTGCTGTTAATTAATGGGGTTGTGCCTTCGGAGAAGATGAGCCAGCCCTCAAGGAGGTGATTATGTAATTTGCTAGCAATTCATGTCCCTCCCGGCGTGACGCTGCGCGCTGACGTCACGGGGCTGTAATGGTGGTGTGCCTCGAGATTTTTTTCATGAAACAAGTGTGCCTTTGCCCAAAAAAAGGTTGGGAAACACTGATCTAGAGCAATGGGAGAAACTCTGGCGAGAGGATATACCATTTACTGCCTCATATACAATTAAAGAACATTTTGTAAAGATGTTCTATAGGTGGTACTTAACGCCAGTTAAGTTGGCAAAGATACACAAATTGAAATCCAACCTCTGTTGGAGATGTGGTGGAGAAATAGGAACAACAAAACATATGTGGTGGAGGTGTGAGGAAATTAAGAAATTTTGGATAGTAGTACACGAAGAATTAAAGAAGATGTTGAAAATATCAATAACAAAGAAACCAGAGACATATCTCCTTGGATTGATAGATGATGAGATATCACGGGGTAGGGGTGGGGATTTGTCTATATGCAAGTACAGCTGCTAGAATAGTGATTGCTGCTTGGTGGAAGTCACAAACTAGAACCACAAAGGAGGGATGGATTTGTAAACTAAATGAATATTTAATTTTGGCAAAATTAACTACTATAAGAAGAAATCAGTCGAATCAAAAATTTAAAAAGGAGTGGAAATGTTTTGATGAATATATGGCAAAATATTGCTCAAAAAAAGATATGCTAATATGCCTAGATTAAAATGTGAAGTACTGGATGGAAGAAAAATTAGTAAGGAAAGATAATAAGAATATATAAATGATTTGAGAAGGTTGTAGAATGCAAAGATTATTGTAAATTGTATAATGTGGAGGAAATTGAGTGGGGGCGGAGGGAAGTGGGAGGAAGGAGAAAAGAATAATATGATGGATTGAGGAAATAGAAATGTAAATGTATGGGGGGATGGGGAGGAAATGATGTTGGCTTTGGTACATCTGTATTGTAAAGTAATGTGAAAACCAATTTAAAAAAAACTGCTAGAAACTTCGGGTGATTTCTGGGAACGAATGTGTGCTGGTCCCGGGGGTAAGGTACCTTGGGTGTAGCAGAGTCCACACGAAGAGGGGCAAGGTCCGAGGCAGAGAGCCGGGCGGGGAACAGGAACGCTGGAACAGGAGGCTGTGCAGGGAACAGGAACACTGGATGGTCGGGAACAGGAGGCCGAGCAGGGAACAGGAGTACCGGATAGTCAGGAACAGGAGGCCGAGCAGGGATCAGGAACACAGGAAGGTCCGAAGCCAACAACGACGTTGCTCCAGCAACCTGGGGCCGGGCTGACTGGGCTTTTATCCTCTTCTAAGGCCAGGGGCAGTCCCGGCCCTCAGGAGCCCCGCCTCCTCTGGCCTTAAGGCGAGCACTCCTCCTGGGGGCAACCAGTTCCCTTCGCCTCTCTGCTCTAAGCCTCTGCAGATCAGGAGAGGCCGAAGGGTTACTGGGCCCTGGAGGAGGCTCACCTGTGGCCACTGAGTCGTCAAGCCTCTCTGGGGCCAGAAGGGCTTCACCTGGGGCCAGCTCCTGATGCACTGCCACAGGTGCAGGCTCTTCAGCATCTAGGCCTTGCCCCAGTTCAGCCGGCCCTGGAGGCGGGGACTCCTGTGCAGGCTGGGATTCCTCTGTTTCATCCTCCGAATCGGAATCCCAGGCCATCACAGAATGTCTCACCCCATTGAGCTGTGCTCACAGTGTTGCAAGCAGTATGGCAGCCTCTCACACTTTGCTATGAGTTATGCCTCTTCAAGGAAGAGGTAGAAAGCTTATTTTTCAGGATGGGCTTCTAGTACACCAGCCCCCTTTCCATTTTTTAATCTGCTGAAATCATTACCAATGCAATTAACTGAGCACTTTTTCCTATTATTAATATTTTGCCTGTCCTTAGGCACTACGTCATATATCAAGCGGATAACTTATCGTGGTGTCATGAAATATTCACACACCGACGCGCAATTATATCCTTTTAAACTGAAATCATCCAGGACATAAATCTTTGTTTCTTCCCATGTACAGACTGAAGAGCCAAAAGGCTACAGCTACAGAGTATTATGCATAACTGCTTAGAGAGAAACATATAGAGACTACAGCCAATCCTTCCAATTTACTATAACCGCACCTACCATGATTTTGGATTGTTTTACTTGAGAGCAGGGATGGGGACCCTGTGGCCCTCCAGGTATTGTTGGACTGTAGCTCCCAGCAGCCATAGCAAACATGACCAATATTCGGCAACATCTAGGAGTCCCAGTAGTGATGTATGGAAGTGAAAGCTGGACCATAAAGAAGACTGATCGCCGAAGAATTGATGCTTTTGAATTATGGTGCTGGAGGAGACTCTTGAGAGTTCCATGGACTGCAAGAAGATCAAACCTATCCATTCTGAAGGAAATCAGCCCTGAGTGCTCACTTGAAGGGCAGATCGTGAAGCTGAGGCTCCAATACTTTGGCCACCTCATGAGAAGAGAAGACTCCCTGGAAAACACCCTGATGTTGGGAAAGATGGAGGGCACAAGGAGAAGGGGATGACAGAGGGCGAGATGGTTGGATAGTGTTCACGAAGCTACCAGCATGAGTCTGACCAAACTGTGGGAGGCAGTGTAAGACAGGAGTGCCTGGCATGCTCTGGTCCATGGGGTCACGAAGAGTCGGACACGACTAAGCGACTAAACAACAACAACAACAACACAGGAAGGCCACAATTCCCCATCTCTGCTTAAGAGGAAGAAGACCTCATGATCAAGACCACACCTATAACAATATTGTACCTGGCCAACTCAGCACATCAAGCATATCTTTAGAGACACAATCTACACAAAGTTTTTATTCTCCAATTGATTGTGTACATGTGTATACGATGCCACTGAGGGGAGGCACGTGAACCAGCTTCTTACATGTAGACACTGTCAATCGCAGCGACTCACCCAGGACTAAAGAGCTGGACCACGCTAAAAAAAGTCCATGCCTCCTGTCGTGTAACTGAATGCAAAGAAGAACAAATGCCACTTGAGTGAATCAGGCCTCAGTGCTCATGAATTTTTCTCACCTTAGAGAGCATTTCAGAAGTGTCACGTTTTTTAATGACGATCTTAGGTCAAATGCATGCTTAATTGTATCATGCCTTTTCTCCAAAAAGCTCAGTACAAGTTTCTTCAATAACTATAATACCCAGCATTTCTAATGCACTTCAAAGTACTTGATGTGCTTCCCACATTCTCTCAATAATCTCTCTAAAGTGGGCATAATACCTGGAATAAGCTTCATATTTACAGTAGAGAGATAACAGTAATAGTCTTTAACCTTTTCAGAGTCAGGACACAACTAGAACCCAAACATGCACTTGGGAAGCCTAACCTTTGTCAGATATTTGAATGGGAGTAGCGTTGCTCTTGAGACTCAGTAGCTGGTCTTGAACCACGAAGGGCTAAGAGGTGTTGGCTTGCCAGAGACCACCAAGTTCATGGCAGAGAATTTTTGAACTAGTGAATTCTTTGTTTACAGTTCTGTGGGAATATAAGGATCTATCTATTTGGGTTGTTTCTAATCTCCCCAATGTTAAATTCAGTTCTCCACATTTCTGCAATTGCAATTTTTAAAAAAAATTCTCCTGAAATTTCCCCAACATCCTAGTGTGAATGTCTGATATTTCTGCATGCAATTTTGACATTTTTGGAAACAATGTAATGCAGTTTGTATGTTATTTTTACTGCTGTGTTATTTTTTATGCACACTGACCCCCAATGTATGTATTTTTGTAAACAAGCTTTGCAAAATTCAGTTAAGTGTTAATTTAAAAGAATGGCTGTGCTTTGATTCTCCTATTGCTTCAGAAAGTGTAGATTTGGTCGATTCACCTTTAAATGCAAACTGAACTGAATTTCTGCCCCATCCCTGCAGCTCAGCCTCTTCAATTGTACTTTAGGGTAGTGATGGCCAAACTTGGCCAATTCCCATCATCCCTGACCACTGGTCCTGTTAGCTAGGGATGAGGGGAGTTGTAGTCCCAAAACAGCTGGAGGGCCAAGTTTGGCCATCACTGCTCTAGGGACTAGTAGGGCTGGCTCCAGACATTTTCCAGCCTAAGGCAAAGGATAAGACAAGTCCTCTTACCTTAAACAGTCAGGTAGCATTGTGGCCTGGCCATAGGCTTTGTCAGCCTGGGTAGGACTGCAGGCCTGACTATGGATGGACCAGTGACAGGCAGGCCTAGGTCCAGGGATTCCCCAGGGGGTGGGTCCAACTAGCCAAGGGTCGTTGCTTGGGTCCACCTCCTGGGGAATAAATTGAGGCTGGCCCACCACACCTCCGAAGCCTTTCTGTCAGATGTCCTACCCTTCCCATCATATGCTCTTCTTTCATGCTAGACATTGCTATGGACATTGTCCTGATCCCCGGGCCTACCTGGCGGCAAGGCAGTATTTCAAGTCCCAAGTTCAACAGTCGGGATGCACGGTCTGGGGTCAATCTATATGTCCGAAGTCCAACCAGAAGCACCATCCCATAGTGGTCCTGGAGCATCCAAGCCAAGATCCATCAACATGGACAGCTGAGCAGACACAGCCCCTTAGCTCTGCTGCCCTTTGCTGCTTTGTGCAGCACCTGGGCTTAATGAGGCAGGTGACCCTCACCTGTCCTGAGCCTACTCCAGCTGAGAAATCACTCTCCTCCCAGAAATAGCGAGCCCCACCTGGCCAACTAGGGAGCTGGGCTGTAGGCTCTTGTCTGCCTCAGCCACCTAGAGCAGGCATAGGCAAACTCGGCCCTCCAGATGTTTTGGGACTACAACTCCCATCATCCTTGACCACTGGTCGTTATCTAGGGATGGGAGTTGTAGTCCCAAAACATCTGGAGGGCAGAGTTTGCCTATGCCTGACCTAGAGCATATCTCCCACTGCTCCCTACATCTCAGAGCCCACTGTGTTCATGGAGGCAGGGCCCCTTCTGACTCTGACTCCTTCAGTTCTGGGTCCTCTCACCATCCCCATCACCCTGCAAGTACTTCATCCCCAGCTGGTGTGTCCCAGGCCCGGCTACACCCCTTGCCTGAATCCTCTTCCTCCTCCCCATCATCATGTCAGACCAAAGGAACTTTTCCACTTGAAAACCAGAGCCAATTTGCCATCTCCCCCCTAGCAAAAGAAATCTAAACATTGAAAAGTATTATTAACCCACAGCTTTCCTTACTATTTTTGAGGATGCCAATAAACAACTTTATAAAAGGTTCGCTGCCTGTTTTCTTGTCACTGCACGATTGGCAATAGCACAAACATGGCAGAAGCTACAAGGATTTACTCTGGAATTTTGGTATAAAAATATATGATGCAAGCAATAGCAGAAAAGGTCACCCATAATATTGTTTCCCATGGAAAACAAAAACCAGAGACATTTCTCACAATATGGTGGTCCTTTATTTTCTACACCAAAGATCACAGACAGGCAGATAATCTTCCTCAAGCTACATCAGACTTTTAGACATGGCAATAGACTATTAAAACATGTATGAGACTAAAGTTATTATCAGATATGACTCTCTTTGATGGACGTTTGGAGCACTGAATGTATCTGACTTTGGAAGCTGATTGAAGATTGTAAAGACATTTATTGTGAATTCATCACGCTGTAGAAAGAGGAGGATGCGGCAGGGAGATGTCACAATTTTTACTGGGGCATTTTATAATATTACAATTATCTTTAATAAAATCTTTTTAAAATAAGGGTAAATGAAATGGGAAAGAGCTGACACAGCATAAGCTTTATTCTTTTCCTGCCACATTTATTCAATTCTTTGTAGCAAGCTTTTGGTGTACGTAATGGGGAAAATGAATCCCAATGTTTGTCAGAAATAAAAATGTAACTATTGAAGTACACGGGAAGCCGTTATGCATTGCCAATACCTGCACTAGTTTTCACAATGCCATTGAAGACTTATTGCAAACCGCTAGTACAAAATGGTCACTGGGCTACTAACAGAGACCAGCCAAATGGATTACATGTTGCCAGTCTTTGAACAACTGCACTGGGCGTTGGTCTGTTTCAAAGTTCAACTTGCTAGTGCTTACCTTTGAAGCCCTGAATAGCTCTTGGAGCCAAAGATCAGGAGGACCACCTCTGCCCACAGGAATCTGAACCCCCACCTTTGGAATGACCTTTCCACGAAAGCCCATGTTAATCTCTATGCTGCTTTTCTATCTTCGCTTTACGGTTTCTACCATTTTTAATTTCTGACACGTTTGTGTGTGTGATATTTAGGTGTTTTCCTTTAATGTTTTCATGTATTTTCATTGAAAGCTGGGAATTTTTCTTAGTGGAATGGCACTATGCGAGTATTTTAATTACTTTTTTAATTTATTAAGTATAGGCAGTGGGACGCGGGTGGCGCTGTGGGTTAAACCACAGAGTCTAGGAGTTGCCGATCAGAAGGTTGGTGGTTTGAATCCCCGCAACGGGGTAAGCTCCTGTTGCTCGGTCCCTGCTCCTGCCAACCTAGCAGTTCGAAAGCACGTCAAAGTGCAAGTAGATAAATAGGTACCGCTCCGGCGGGAAGGTAAACGGCGTTTCCGTGCGCTGCTCTGGTTCGCCAGAAGCAGCTTAGTCATGCTGGCCAGATGACCCGGAAGCTGTACGCAGGCTCCCTCGGCCAATAAAGCGAGATGAGCGCTGCAACCCCAGAGTCGGCCACGACTGGACCTAATGGTCAGGGGTCCCTTTACCTTTAAGTATAGGCAGAGAGGGAAGAATGAAATCATGAATCCTTCAAAAGCTGCATTTCCACATGCGTTACTAAAATAAAATGGGTGGAACTCAACTTTGCGCTATGACAAATGCTCCAACTGCACAAGCACTATAGCCTGCCAGATCTCCCCTCTCCTTCCCTCATGTGCTGTACTATGGGTTCTCCATCCCACCAGAGCAAAGGTCAGGAGAGCATGCGGGGCAGGGCAAACAGAAGTCTTTGTGCAGGGCTTCCGCTGACAGGTAAATCTCGCCCAATTACTTCACAGCGAAAAGGTCCATCCATCTTAAGTTTATTTAAGTGAGCATCATAGAACACAAAAATCAGTATCTGAGTGTTCCGTCTACATTGGAACTTGGATGGTAAGAACTCCCTATGAAGTGGATTCCAATTTTCTCTTGTCACAGAGTAAATAGGATGCATATTGAAAAGGAAATAAAAAAACACATATAGATGATATTGTGTTTCACTGTTCCTGCGCTATTAACCAGACCCACCCCCACCCCCCGAGATAAGCTGTAACTGGGAAAGAGGCTCTGGATCAAAAACGATGAATACCAATCCTTTAAAAGTGTCCTTTGATAAGGGAAGTGTGCTACCTAATACACTCTAAGGAATCCAAATATAGATCTATATGGCACACAAAAGACATAAATTTGAAATGAGCAGACTACTTCATTATATTTCACCTGTCTCATGCTATTAAATACCATCTTAAAAGAAAAAAAACTGTTAACTGTATTAGATTTTGTATAAATAATTCTTGAGGTTTCCCCCCCTTCAATTTAACAACACTGTAAACATTTATTTCTTCCTAGAAAAAGAACACTATGTATCCCTTCCAGTAACTCCTGTGCAATCTTAGATTTAAACAATTTAGAAATTTATTGAATTTTCAAAAACAAAAAGGTACAAAAAATCAACCTGGAGAAAACAACCCAAACATGCTGCTGTTTATAAATAAATTCAGAAACAGTTGCATTATTATTATTATTTCCTGCAAATCCAAACACACATTTCTAGAATTGAAAGTACTGTTGGCACACATCTTTTGACGTAATCACTGTGAATCGCTTATCTTTGAAGAAGTCACCAAGTCACTATGTATGGAGAGCAATGGAAGAAAAAAGGATAGCAATACTTATTCTGCATTCATATTTTAATTCATTGAGCATTTAGGAAATGTATGAGTAAGTGATGAATGAAAAAAGGAGAGAGTAAGTCAAAGCATTTTCTTACAGGGCATCTAAGTCTAGGAAGAGAAAGAAAAGAAGACATGCTTGAAAATAGTTTTTAGAAAACATCCATCTTAAATCTCAAAAGTTTATTTTACCTGTGTTTAAATCTTAAATTAGAAATGGACCACTTAAAGAAAGGATCATTTCAATATCAAGGACTGATTCTTCTTGACGGATGCAGTATTTATTATTGTATAGAAATATTGCATCACCTATTTACTTGCAGAGGTACAGGGAAAAGAAGAGGGGAGGAGTCCTGTCTCAAAACACTTGATCACTTCAATGATGGGTTTCTAGTTCAAGAATTGTCCATTCCCCTTGAGGGGAAGAACAATCTTCAGAGGAAAAACTTGCCACTGTGATGCTTGCTGAAGAATCATCCAGTGGAGATATCAGTTCAGTCCACCTACTGAAAGTGTCAATCTGTGCTTTACCCTGAGGTTGTGAACTGTCTCGTGCCAGAAAAAGTGTCTGGTTGATGAGATATTGTGCTAAGTTAAGGTCTTCAGGAACAGAGTTTTTGATGTCTAAGTTTGACTCCTGGTCAGATAACAGTTGCCTGAGAAGAGTCCAGTCCTGTTCTGCAAACGGCTGATCTTCAAAATCCACATCTAGAATGTTCAGTTCCGACTCCATCCTCTGCTCAAAAGCTTCTCCAACATCCATCTCGTAAATTGGAGAAAGGGTTTTTGGAGGCCGATGCTCATACATGCAGGTTTGTGTCAATCTGTCACAATCATCTATGTCTCCTGAAATAATTCACAATACTACACATTGTAAAAATTGCACAGGCTTTCCCCTTTTGCAGGGCTTTTGTACAGCATACTTCACTCAATGCAGCAGGACCAATCCAACCAGATTAAAGAGGTAAGGAAAAATGTAACTTGTATACAAAGTCCACAAATATTTGAGCCATTTTTCAAAATGCATTTAAAAAAGTAAATGAAACGAAGTACGGCTTATAAATAAAGCAGCAATCACCACTGGCAATTGACAATAAACCTCCATAATTGGAAAAAATTTCTGATACAGAAAATGACAAGTCATGTAAACCAACATTTAATGCACATGGATTTCTAAAACCACTAAAATAATAACTTAAAATAGGAAGGAGCAGAGCGAGGGAGGGGAAAACGAAAGGGAGGACATGATCACCAAACAGTGACTTAAGCCAAGTCAACCTCAAAGGGGCGAAAACAAATGGTTTATTCACAGGCTTAATATTTAAGTATTGCACATGCAAAGGGCAGCTGCAAGCAAGGACAAGCAAACAAAAAGAAGTACAGCTTGAGAAGTCATCCATTCGTATGGTTCTTCAGAACACAAATCATCAGTTTATAACTCTTAAATACACAGAAGTTTGAAAGATTCGGGTTCTCTGTGTTGTACTTTGGGGGTACCGAGTTGAATCCCTGTTTTAAGGAAGACACAAAACTAGACAAGAAGTTACCTAACCGTGTGAAGCAAGCATAAGTTTAAATGTATTAACTGCTGTTGTTTTTTAAAGCTGACCTTTCTCTTTTTAAAAAGAAATAATTTTTTCACTGGCAAAACTTAGAACTACAAGAATTCTGAAAAAGTATCTTAAGAGTATAGGCCAGCTTCTGCTGAAGCCAATGGCAAGGGCCCCACTGAATCCAACAGCAGCTTAAGAGGAGACCCTAGCTCTGTGCAAAACAGAAACAATAATGAATATAGCTCTTAAAAGGCAAATACGCAGAGCACTTTTAATTGAGAGTATTAATGCACTTATTGCACATCCCACTTTGATATAGATATATATAGATATAGATATATATTTATGTGAATCATATAGGCTGCTGAACCAATGGATAGCCAAGTTTCCATTAAAAGATGATATTGCCTATGTTCTATTGGGTCAAAAATGAACTCAAGAGCAGGGAACAGCATCCCACTCTCCGCTTTGCCCATGATAAATATTCCCAGCTGCCCACTGGACAGCGTCATACATATTCTATTATGGTCGAGAATATGGTATGCAACTTGAGATTTTGTTTGAAACATAAGCATTTAATTCTGTTAACAGTTTGGATAAAATTTCTAAAGGTATTTGCTAGAGTTAGTGTCTCAAACCCAACTATAAATCTAATATTCCACTAATACGTAATATCTTGAGGAACTTAATGCTTTTATTTCTGTACGTTACCTGCGGATAAAGCAGAGTTAGCGTATTCAGTAGATGCTGAATCAATCTCTTTCACGTGGCCTTCCTGAATCAGTATATGACTCCTATTTGGGTCTACAGGTTTTGCAGAATTGTTCTTTTGTAACTCAGCATTATCTCTTTGATGAAGATCCAGGTGACATGGTCTTCCTTGAGATTTTGTGTCGTTGTCTGAGACTTTATTACACTGGAATTCATTGTTCTCTTCACTCTTGGCATTTTCCTTAACTTCTGCAGGAGACGGACTATGTCTCACAATCAAATCTTTCTCAGCAGGCTTCTGTTCCATAACTGGAGTACTCTTCTCCTTGGGTTTTTGCTCATTGCCACAAGGGTCTACAGAAGCATTCTCACTTTTCTCTAACCTTTCCTTATCATTCTCCTTACACTCCAGGAATCCGTCTTCAATCTCCAAGGAGTATCTTGAATAAAATGTCTTGCCATGACCCTCATGGGAAGTGCCATCAAACACATCAGAAGGCGTTGCAGCATCCAGAGAACGTTGGAGGGAAGTGTGGACCTCTCCACCATCGTCAGATCCCAATTCTTCACATTCATCCACTGAAAGCAATACTGAACGCTTAAAGTTTTTGGTGGCAGGGAATTCTTGACTTTCAGTATCATTTTCTGCTGCATCTTCAAATGCAAGATTCACAATTCCATGGAACTGCTGAACAGGGATTTCTGGTGGAGGCAGGTTTTCTACGACATTTTCAGTTTCAGACTTTTCATCTTCTGTTTCATCAGCCGAAGAGGAGACCTGATCAGCTTCTTGAGGAAACTGTGCAGCGGCAAAATTAGCATTATTCCCTCTGGAACCACCCCTTTTCTCATCACCTTGGTGCAGCCACGCTTCAGGCCTTTTTCTAGGGATCTCATCATCACTTGTTGAAATAACACGGAAGAGATCAGAGTTTTCCTTTTTCATTTTCACTTCTATCCTCAGACTTGTGTCATAGATTTTGAGTTCTTCGGGTGTACTTGTATCACTGCTGCTTCTGCCAAGGAAATCATGGCATATCATAGTGCTGCACTTTGAAATCCCTCTTTCATTTGACCCTTCGTCATCCTGAGATCCTCCTGCATCATAGTCTTCCGATCTTGGCTTTATATCGTCGGATGATGTCGTTGCACTGCCACTGTCCGATTCAGGGCTTTCTTTTGGATCAAGTGCACTGGAACTCAGATTCCAATGATCTGCAAAGGGGGCCTCTGAGTTCTCATGGCTCTCTGGGGTCTCTGTGGTATCGGTGTCTTTAGATGAGCATTTTTCTGCAACATGCTCTACAAAAGATTTTGAAGCAGCATCTGATTCCACGGTAGCCGATTGGGATTCAGTCAAGGCAGATTTATCAGAGAATTCATCAGCGCTTTCAGAGCCCATTATACAGACCTTAGAAGATTTCCTCCCCTCATGTTCAGAGTTAGAGCTGTCATTGGCTGTTTCAGACAAGCTGTGCAATGGATCTTCAAGATAGTTAACATCCTTTGAGGTATCATTAGATTTGCAACCGACCGATGTTACTTGTGTTAAAAGGTTCTCTCCTGTATGTTCCAAGAGATTCTGGTAGGCAACAGAATCAGGAAGTATTTTGCACTTCAATTCTTTAGAAGCTAAAATCGCAGGATTCTGGCTAACATTTGCACAAGTCACACCCTTCTCTTCTCTGACATGCTGCAATTCTTGTACAGTTGTTTTGTTTACAAGCGATTTATCATCCTCATTCTTATGAACCTGTTTTGCTATCTTTTCAGTTTTCAGCTCTGCAACACAATTATGTTCCAAATTTCCTTTCATGTCTCTCTCTTCAAGAGGGGTCACTTTTTCTGAATCAGGTATGTGTCTCTTATCTATCTCAAGCAAAGATGTTCTGCTGTTGTTCTTCTTCCCTGGGCTAGATTTGTTACTGCTATGCAACTGAGTTCCCAACGAAGTTGAATTTTTTTGCCCTTCTGCATGTAAATTCTTCTGAACTGGTGATTCACTTCTGGAATGCTTCTGGCTTGAAGAAGGAAGCTTTGGAGCAGGTTGCCCTGTAACTATTTTCTGTTTTTGATCTTTATTGTTCACGATTTCACTCTTCTTTGAATGGTTTTGGGTTTTGGATGTTATTATTATTTTTGCTGTGGCTTTAACTGAAGCTGCCTGCGGAGATTTAGACTTTTTCTTTGATGAAGGTTGCTTCTCTGATTGAGTTAGATATTGGGTCATGTTTTTTTCTTCATTTTGCTTAGGAGAGAGTCCAGGCTTCAGTAGATTTGGGGTCTCCCCTGGTGGACCTACTGAGACAAAAATCTAAAGGTTATGCTACATTCCAATTTGCAGAGTGAAGGAGCAGTGCCTGTCAACTGTGTCAGGACTTTCTATACAAAAAGAACTTCAAAAGGATGCTCAAGAACAAATATGCCAAAAATGAATAGAAGATTAAAGTTGCCCTTTGTGGAAGCATTATCACTACCAACCAGAACCACACTGTGGAACAGGCAAGAGCTAGCAATCACTAGGCTAAAACTTAGAACACTGCCATCATTAATTATGTTAAAAGAAAAAGAAAAGTCTTTGCAGTATTATGACTGCATTTATTACACTGTATTTGAGATCTGTAATTACACTAGCCACATGGTTAGTTTTGAAAACTATAAATTGATTTCTCACATACCACTAGAAGAAGGCATGGCACTGTAACCTAATTAGATGGCCCCTGCAAATTAGTGATGAGCAGCACTCCTATGAATGCCCCCAAATGGATTTGAGTTTTACTTACACTTCAATACAATGCATGGTTCCTTGAAAGTTACACCTGTATAATTCAATGGCGCTTACTCCAAGAAAGGGTGACTAGCTTTGCAGTTTAGTCATCTAACCACATGCATCTCTGATAAAGATTCCCAGTTTGGAAATGATGGTTTCTCCAAAGTCAGCATTACACATACAGGACAAATCTTTACCTTGATTTTTCACAGTGTTAACTACGTTTTTTGTCTTCGGTTGCATGGTAGAGTTGCCAGAATCATTTCCCCTTTTCTTCAAAACTGCCTGCGGTAGGGGTTCGTTGTTGCCCTTTCCAGTGCATTTCTTTACACTGAAAACAGAAACACGCTGCTTGAATTATTTGTAAGATTAAAGATCTAGAAGGTTAACATGATACTGAAGCATCTGTATGCCCTACACGCGTTTCTATAGGGAAAAGCACAAAATGCCTCTAAAAAAAAAGTCATAGCAGATTAAAAAGGGAGAAAATAGGATGTTAACAAGCAAGACCATCTCTTGTTGACTCTATAGCTTGTCTCTCCATTACTGAGAGAGCTCAGAATCCTGTTACAGTTGGAAAATGGAGAGTCTCAAATGATCTTTAGGGAGGGTTGAGGTATAAAGCAGCAATGAAACAAAACTCTTTAGCATTCTGGGGTTCACAAATTCTGGCTGTTGCTCCCAATCCCACTACTCAGGCACATGTTGAGGACTCATAGGAGAGGGTGAGAGCTTATGTGTGCTAAGGTAGGGAGAGTGTAACAAGCAATAAGAAAAACACATTTTTTAAATAAAAAACAACTTCCCCAAATGTGAGAGCACTCTCTCCCCATAGTCCTCTTGAATTCTCTAAGAAATCTGGGAAGCAGAATTTTGTGGCAAGCATAGGAATGGTGCCAGAAAGAAATGGTTGGATGATGCGAAGTCCTGAGAATATAACAAAAATAATTATAATTTCTTGCTCCAAATATAAACCAGAATACAGAACCTGGAACAAACACACAAGTTTTAGAATGTTTTGACTTGATGAACCTCATTTTCAACAGGGAAATAAAATCCTATTAATATGGAAAAACTAGTAGCCCAACTTCCAACAGACCTGTTCATGGAACCATTAGCCTCAAGATCATTAACATGTTTTTTAGCAGGAGCTCCATTAGACATCTTCGAAGCAGGCTTTGTTTTCAAAGCTGTATGATAAAATAAAAATAGAATTAGACAGTAAAGAGACCCATGTAATGAGCATCTGCTGGAAAGTTCAAATCTCACGGTTTAAAATACAATATTTTAGCTTCAACCACTTCCTCCCCAAAAGATGAACCTTGATTATCCACAGTTGCTCCAAATGCTTCCTATTCAAATAATCTTAGCTTATGATTGCAAATTTAGCTGACATCCCCAGGTAATGGCAGCTAAATGAAATGTATTAGATGTAAAGTAAAAAATACTCAAAGGAATAATATATTTTACCCTCATCTTCAAACAGCTGTTCAAAATTCTGTGAAGATTTTTCAAAGGATTAGCTATGTATCTGTCCATATTTTACCAATCTAAATTTCCTTTCTACAATCAAAACATTAAATTATAAAAATCAAATAAAAAAAATCACAACCCACTTAGAAGTGAAGTGATTTTTTAACAGATTCCCCCCTCCCCCGCCCCGTTTTGCAGTGAACGATTTGTGAGGCAGGTCCAAAGGGAATCTCTATTACCTGAGTGCTTTTTGCCTTCATCTGTTAATTTTTCCTCTTTCAGTTCATCGAGCTGTTCAATGGACATCCGTAGATCTGTGCTGGAGTTAGTGGACTTGCTTAGAGTTTCTGTGCCCATAAGAGAGGGAGATTCCTTTCCACTGGTCTTCTTCAAAGGTTTTGCTTTAATCTGTACACTTGAGCTCCCAGGGAGTACTTTGGGTCTAGCACCTGCAGTTTTACCTTCTTGATTTTTTGAGGCTTTGCCACTTCCCACATTTTTGTGTCCGCTAGCAGATAAAGACCGTTCGGAATCCTGTTTGGTAAGCAAGCTTTCGGCCTTAGCATTTCCATTATTTTCAGTTTTGGGCTTTATAACAGCTCTAGCCTTGGGCGAAGGCGTTTTCTCCCCCATTTTGGACTCTTTCATCATCTTGCAAACAGCTTTTTTGTTGTCTTTCCCCTTTAAATCGTCATGTTTCAAAGCCTTATTAGTGCCGTTCCTGTTGGTAGCCGATGTGTGCCCAGATGCTCCTAATCCATCAGATTTCATTTTATCCTGATTAGTGCAGGAACCACCCCAACTGTTTTGCTTTCTGTATGCTTTCAAAGCAGGATGCTTTAGACCAGAACTGTCAGTAGTGCATCTGTTTAACTGGGAGGAGAAAAATATGATAATTCAGAAAAGAAAGAAAAACAGTAGGAGAGTCACAGTTACTTACTCTGAAAACTTAGCTATTTAGCTCAGCATGAGTCTTAACTAACCACACTTGAAGAAAACGTTCTTATCTCCATTTCTGAGGTTTAGAAACAACAGCTAGTTTAAACATCTAAGGTTGTGTAAGGGCTCCCCAAATTTTCAAGGAGGGGTCTGGGGCCCCTCAAAATTCCAGTGGCTACACACAAACGCCGCAGAACACGCTCACCTTAATCGCACAACTCGTGCGGCACACCACACGGCATGCCTGTAACATGTCAACACATTGCGCGATGTCACATGGCATGCTGACGTCCCTGCGCTGGCCCCCTCAATTGCAGGGGCAAGCTGGCGTGCTTGCTTCCTAAGGAGAAAGCTCCACCGGATATGGTGGGACGGACTTCCAAGATATGCATAAAATTGTGACGTAATTTATATAAAAGTCACTTCTCAGCATTTGGGCCAGAGGTGAACATATTTGAACAGGCTTCATTCTCAATGGTTGGGGTCACCAGGGACTAGAAAGCACTTCACATCGTAATTCTTCTGGAGCAATACAGTTTATCTTTTGCTTTTCCATATATAAAAATAACTGGATACATCCTTCAGGCAAGCAAAAGGAAAACTCTAGGAACACCATTGAAGACTAAAATAAGTCTTCCCCTGAGAACACTGGAAGGCCTGACGTTCCATATACAGAACACAGAGATGCAATGCATCTTCAAAGAATCCTTGAAATGGAAGTCCATCCTTCCCCCACTCCTGGCACGGGCATTTTTCTAGGATTCTAGTTTTGCAGATTATAAATGTACCTGTAAATGAAGTCCAGTACTTCCGAAACTTTCAGAAACCAAGGCGTGGCTTCCAATTGGTTGCAGGAGCATCCTGCAGCCAATCGGAAGCCGCAGAAGCCTCACCGGACATTCAACTTCTGAGGCAAAGTTCGCAAACCAGAACACTTACTTCCGGGTTTGCGACATTTGAGTTCCAAGTTGTTCATGAACTAAGCTGTTCAAAAACCAAGGTACGACTGTATGCATCACCACCCCCTTATTTAGGGTTGGATTCTCTCACAAAAATCTCTCCAAATATGGAGGTCCACTGGGTATTTATTTGATGGGATGAACAAACTGAATAGCTCCATTCACTAGGTAGGACACTATTTGTGTTGCAACCTGGAAAAAATATGCTTTTATTTTTAAAAAAGCATTTCAGAGATGCATACAAGGAGAAATAGAATGCAAACTGCTTCTTTTGGAGTTGAGAGTATTGACTATTCTTAAACCAACCTCTTCCTTCAATGGGAAAGTTCACTTACCCTGCCCTCCCCCCACCCAAAGAAACCAAAAATATAAATATAGTTTCAAGATGATCATAGGTGTATATTAGCTCAGTTAAAATTACAAGGAAATGAAGTTGCCTAACACACTACTAGCTTGTGGTATTTTTTGTTGTAGTAGTTTTACCTGAGAACTAGTGAATACAGGCTTTTTGGTAGGTCTTCTATCATCGCCTTTATCAAAAGCAGCTGTATAAGAAAAGAATATCTTTCTTTAGGAAGAAATACTGGAGAAAAGGAATGAAGCTTCAGGGAAAATAACCTTTATGTAAAACAGGACAGCATTTGAGAAAGGAGTCACATTTTAGACCACAAGTAATTAAGAAATGATAGCAGTTTTTGACCTGAAGTGCAGAATGAAGGAAAATATGCAGGTTCTAGAAAGGATCCCTTAAATTGTATACTATTTGTTCCATTTTTGAAAAGAATGGAGCCACAAATTATTCTGACGAATGAGTTGGTTTACTTGCAGCTATAGGCAACTTTATTGTAGGCCATGACACTCCTTTAACACACAAGTGCCTCCTTGTTATCTCACTTCTGTAGTATTGGTCAATTACTGTGAATCTGTATTTCCTTTGTAAGCAAAGCTATGTTTTGGTTATTCCGAGGTGATCACACAGGCCTCTTTGGCCTGGCGACACAGCTCATCATATATGAAGTTTCCAAATAGAGCATGCTTCGCTGAAGCTCCCAGATGTGAGATTTCTGCAGTGCTTACGTAACCTACACTGGACAGATGCAAACATGAGAGGAAGTGCACTTGGTTCAGAATAGCCTTTGCCAGGGAGCAATATTTATGTGCCTGGATTCTGTAAAGCATTTCACTCCATCCACTCTAAAAATGACTGCACTAGATACATATTATTGCTTTCATAAAATATGCAAGTAAGAGTAAATTTTACCCCCCAAAAACACCTTTGTTCATTTAGTTCCTCGGTGAACCTCTGTTCTGGAAGGAAAGCCATGAGGCTGAAAATGGCATCATGAGGTTTATTTTTAGGGATGCCTCTATCTCATATGTGTGTGTGTGTGTGTGTGTGTGTTTTCACACATATCGTAACACATCAGTACAAATACGAGTTGTTCCATTGGGAACCCATAAACTGAAGAGCTTATCTCTATTTTTTAGCCTATTATTACTGCCATTAAAAACACAAAACAAAACCCTGCAGTCTCCTGCAATCCCTAAATGAAATTATATGCTTCTTTGAAAGTTCATGTGAACATTCCAATAGCTGCCAAAAGGAAAATATGTCCAGTTTCTGCTTATACATATACATACAATTGCAAATAATGACATATTTCTGTTTTTTGATATTGTAATTAAAATGCAAGGATGAATGCTGCAGATTATTTGAAAGCACAAAACCATGTTAGGGGTTGAAGGCACAACACTAACTTCGCAAACACAGGGTTGGTTACGTTCTCACATCTATAGACCCTAGTACTTTTACACTATAAAGCACTTTTTAGAATGATAGAGTCTGACTCTCCAAAACCAATTCTATTCCCAACATGACTTTGAGCCACTGATAATCAGGAAATGAAGGGGGTGGGTGGTGGGAGCTGAAGTTACAGCCTTTAAATAACACCCCACAATCTAGCTTATCCAGATTGCTCTTAATACAAACAAGGGGGTATTGTTGTTTTTCTAGCATTCGTTTATTGCTACCCAACTGCTTTGCAAAATGCTGTAATCCTGAATATGTAGCTTGCTTTCCTGATTAAAGAAACTACATGACCACAGCACAAATACAGAAGCATTGCCCTGAAGCCATTTTCAGGTACCTCATCTGCAAGATTTTGTTCCATACATTTGAAAACAAAGGGGAGGCAAAGGAGCCACAGCAAGACTCCTTTTGTTTAAAGGCTCAAATTCTGCTGCTTACATTTCAGCGGCTGCTATGAAGCTTCCGTGAAGATTCTTCTGCAGCAACAACAGCAACATACCAATTGTGAGGTTGACAGTAACCAGGATCTGTTATTAGGCAGAATTAAAGCTTTCCGTGGTATGGAATGCAAACTAAAACCCTCCATCTGCTACATGTACTAAACCAGCCATCAGCTTGGTATAGAATTCTTTCTACCATGCCCACGTGCTTAAAATAAACCCCATCTTTCGATATTCTAAGTACAAACAAAAGACAGCCTACCTATTTATTTGATTCCACATATCTGCAGTTCCATGCATCTGCAGTAATAACACGCAAGCGGCGTCGTTCACAATAGGGACATACAATCACTTGGCTTCCATGCTTGAAGCTGGCAGAGCAGGATATTTGGAGCGTTTTTGTTAAATTATTATGTACTATTTGAGAGCAGAAGGCTCATCAACATATTCTCCCAGCTATCATTAATTGCCAGCTCCTCTCATTTCTTTAATAAGGGCACAGCTGTTACGCAACGTGCTAAGCTCTCGACAGCTCGCCTACCTGCTTGTATGTTCTGTTGATCGTCTGCCTTCAGCAGCTTCCAGCTCTGTGTGTGACGAACAGCATAAAACGACTGAACCAGGAAGATCCACAGCTTATCACGCAGAGCCTGGATCCTGCACGTAAACCCCTGCGTTCCAAGTAAGAAAATCAGCAGCTGGAAAGAGCCACATTGTCATAGCAACCAGTCATTATTCCTTTGCAGAATCTACTTACTCTTTAAGCAAGATCAATGATGTCATCACTTAGGTTTTATGATTGCCGAAGAGATGCATACGCGGTTTTGCAAAGGCCAATTGTCCTGCACCATAATTTTGCACAGCTTGAAACCAAGCCACTCCCACAAAAGCTGTAGCTCATTAAAAAATATAGCCCCCTCCCTTTTTTCTTTTTCTTTTTTTTTTACCACAAATGAATCCCTTCATAGCTTTTTTACTCTCGGCTATGTCACTACAAGGTCAAATCCTCTGGGGGCCAATAATGCATCTGATTAAATTTTCATCACCCTTGCTGAGTAAGTCAACAATAGACGAGGATTGCAATCATACAGAATAATCTATGTGGTTTCTGTTTACAAGAGCTCATCATGTCAGATTTTAAACCCTGGCAGCTCAACAGGCAACATCCAGGACATTGCTAAAATTCCTTTTTAGAATTACAACTGTGTTTTACACAAAAACACAGTAGTCTCCTCAAATACTTGTAAAATCTTTAAAATATATATATTCCAAAGAAATATATGAATAACCTTTGCCTTCACTAGCATAATATAGTCTCTTTAAATGTCCAAGGCATTCATCCAGTCCTAAGCATACAGTGGACCGGTTTGCATATCCCACCAAGCCACACCTTGTTTTTAGTTCTATTATTTAATTTATTAAATTTACCAGTTGCTTTATCTTGTCTAGGACAACTAGAAGCTACTTGCAAGCAACCACACAGACAGACAATCCCAGCTCCACATAGATACATTAAAACTAAGAGGAAAAAATACATTAAAAACACCCTGCCCACATCTAAAAGGCCACAGATAGTTAAAAGACCAAAGGCCTGGTTATAGAGGAATGCTTTTGCCTGGCGCCTAAAGATATGATGATGATGATGATGATGATGATGTGAGGCAAACCTCAGTGGGGAGAGCAGCCAACAAACTGAGGGAGCCACTGCAGAGAAGGCCCGTTCTCGTGTTGCCACCCTCTGGACCTCTTGTGAAGGAGGCACCCAAAGAAGGGCCTCCTATGACGATTGCAGGGTCCAGTTCAGATCGTATTGGGAGAAGCAGTTTAGCATGAACACCCAGGCTCCTGGAGAAAAGCTTGCATTTGCTTTACTCCTCATTAGGGTTTTTTTGCTACTGCAAAGCCAAGGTTTGGTTTAGTGTATTGTCTGAACCTGGGCTTGTGGTTAAAACTCTCCCCAAACTGACAGAGGTTTTTTGTGGTTAGGTCTGGAGAGAGCTTAACCACAAATTCAGGTTTGGACAGCACACTAAGCCAATGGCAGCAAATGTGACTGGGGAGGAGCAAAGAAACTGCTTGCTCTTCTCTGGGAGCCCACAGATTCATGCTAAGTCAAGGTTTGTGTGAACCAGTGACAAATAAATTAATAACCAAGTAACTGGATATTTTATTTTCTGTTGCTGATCCCCGTAGGCTCTCAGGGATAAGGAACATATTTTAATAAAAGGAAGCTACTTCCTGCCAAGTCAGGTCAATTGTCCGTCTAAACGGCTACTTTCAATTTGGCCTGGCTGTGAGTTTCAAATCCAGCTCTCTAGTATCTTACATAGATATTTTCCCCAGCCCTGTTCAACTGGAGATCGCTCAACAAAAAAAATGTTCAACTCTGAACCCTGAGCTGAACAGGCACCGAACCTAAGGGATGATTTGCTTGCAACCAATATATTTGTAGTGTTAAACATTAAAATGTGAGGGGATATAAAGTTTAAGTCAGTGGTTCTCAACCTGTGGGTCCCCAGATGTTGTTGGACTACAACTCCCATCATCCCTGAGCTCTGGCCTTGCTAGCTAGGGGTGATGGGAGTTGTAGTTCAACAGCATCTGGGGACCCACAGGTTGAGAAAGGCTGGTTTAAATGAACATGCACTGATGTACCCCAGGATCAGTAAGATGTAAGCAATTCTGAATTTTGGGATTTCCCAAGCTTCTACGAGTCATTCACTTTCCTGAAAACAAGGGGGAAAGAAACTATACTAATCCATTTGCCAAGGAACACAACATGAAGTAAGCTTAAGGGTGCAACTCAAGCAGCTACTGTACATATCTCTTCAAGAGAAACGCTAAAGAGTGATTCCCCACCCCAACCTAAGAGTGATACTTCAGACTCCGAGTTGGAAAACAACACCAAACCAAACCACCACCACCACCACGAGACCTCATGTTCTTAATTTGGGTATTATGATAACTTCATTGTCCATTCAAATTACACAGCTGCTTGCTCCAACTCAAAGACATGGGCTGCGATTCAGAAAGATACATAGAATGTCCCACATGTATACGTGAACTTTTCAGGCTCCCCTGCCTCCAAATATCTAATACAACCACTCATGTTTCTCTAAATAAAAGAGGAAGCCTATATTAAAAGTTAAGGAACCCCCGAAACAGCATTTGAGCAAACTGGCAGCTACAGAGGTGGAAAGCACCAACCCCTTCTGTACCTGCAGCCTCATAATGCAGCACATTTTTCACTGCAGCACCTCTGAATGAACTAGACCCTTTTTGCAGAGGAGCAGTGCAGGAAGAGAGACTCGCAAGCGTGCTTCCTTAAGATCGCAGCACCACTGATTTCATCCAAGACTTACAAGGACATGCTTACATACTCTGTTGTGCCAGAATAGAAAAGGGGCTGAGGGAAAGAGGCATGTACACAGAGCTCCCATCCTGTGTACTAGCAGCAAACCGGTTCCTGGAGTGACAATTCTTAAGCAGACTAAAACAGCAATAACACTTAAGAGGGAGTTGTTAGCAGGCTTGGGGGATTTGGGCCACGATTTGCAGAAGGGCAAAACTAAACTTTAGAAAACAGCCTGGTGAGTACAGGGTGCATTTGGAGCTCACAGAATGCTAGGTTTCTACTGGAGGAAAAATGGAAAGGAAGGTAGAAACTGAATAAACGTATTAACAGAAGAGAGGATGGGCGGCACGAACCCCGAAAGGAGCACACAGCACAAGCAATGTTTTGTTGCATGTTCTACTTATAGCAAGACGAGAGTTATATACACCAAGTCACTTGAGCCAAGGTTGAGCACCTCCACAAAGTGTAAATATTTTAGGAAGTTAATTCATTAGCCAGATTTCAACAGCGGAATATTTTTCCCTTTGAAATTTTTGTAAGACCTACCATGTCCTTCACTTTTGCAGAATTTAGCAAAGTGTCCATGGCTGTAAGAAGAGAGCAACTGTTTTCAGTGCCAACACCCTTCTCGACCGCTTCAAACACTTGATCAAGGAGGTCAGGTTCACTGCTCATGGCCTGAGACTAGAAGACATTATAGAAGCAGTCAGTTGAAACAGAGAAGGAGAGAGAGAGAGAGAGAGAATGCATTTTGGTGGCAGATCTTAGATTGGTCATTTAGGCTATAGGGGGAGAGGATCCTGGGGCACATGTGCGTCCTCAGGCACTAGATTGGTGATCCCTGCACTAACTGAAAGTTCACAAGCCCGCTGAAATAAAAGTGCGCCTAACATCACAACCCTATCTCTACTCAGAAGCAAACCCCATTAAGTTCAGTGGGATGCACTACCAGGTAAAGTGCATATAAGACTGCAGCATTGCAACCCATCCTAAAAAATAACCAAGCAGCTGCAGCCACTTTATCTCAGTGGGTAGAGAGATCGTTCACTGCTTCGAAAGCCCAGTTTCTAGTGACAACTAATCCCAGCCTATGGTATCGGTTGCTATAACATTGGCATCAATCAGATAGATTTTTACCTGTAGCAGGGCAAAAAAGCTCTCGCTTTGTATTACGTCGGGGAAATGTGCCACCATAAATGCTACACACTCTTCTTGCAGTCTAGATGCCAAGAGAAGAGCTGTTTCAGTCCACTTCACGCGGGGAAGACTCCCGATCAGCCGGTTGGCTTCCATCAAAAGATGGGCAGCATTCTGTGGACTCTTAAAACAATACATATGTGCTCTGAGCAACACGGAATATGCAGTTTCTACACTCTATTTCGACATATAAAAATGTTACAGCCTAATGATCAATCAAACTTCTTATTTGAATGGTGTGTTATATTTTTAACATCTGCTTAGAACATTTAAATACACAAACCAATAGCAAACATGCCACTTAAATTATGCTGACGTTAGCACCACTAAAATTATACTAATTCGAAATGGTGTATCAAAAGTCTTCTAACAGCTACACTTTCCACTAGAGGTTATATATTAACCAAGGCTGGAAATCTTAAGACACAATGAAACAAAACAGTCACCTTGGTACATCAAGGCAGGTTGAATTCTGCATTAGTGTCAATGCTTTTTTTTTATTTGAAAACAAGCAAACAGACTTACCAAAGAGTTTATCAACATGCTAAGACAATTATTCTGAAGCTCAGGGGATAAACTAGCAAAGCTCTTCTCTGACCAACATCTTACAAAATGCTGTACCATCCACCTGTTCAAAGGAAATATCGTGCTTAGACAAATCAACCCATCAGATGTCCCATCACATATGTGAGCAGCTGCAAAGTATTTTCCCATTACAAGTCAAAGAGTTTAAGAAACGATACGCGCCTGCTGTTTTTCAACAGTTTTCTCAAAACTTAAAGCGATGAAGGAAAGAAAGAATCAAAATAGTTTAACTCACTTCATGCAAGCATCATAAAGGCTTTCCACTCCTGTCGAATGGGCAATAGCTAGACATTCGATAACAGGCTGGTGCTTCCCTGGCACAGGCTAAAATTGTAAAGATATAAGGATATTTACTGTACTTTTAGAACCTTTGAGAGATATGAAAGTTGCTAATTGCAATAGGAAATGCTTTCAGTAAACAGATCACTTGTATTTGTGTATACAAACCGGATCACTCTGATCCAGTCTTCAAAAAGTAATAATCAACATTTCATTATTCATTCTGCAGCTGGGCATGCTTACTGCTTCTCTTAAAATGATATGTTTTCAAACATCCTACTTCTGGGGAACTCTTTCCACATCATGTTATCTAATGATAAATCCCCCCCAATATAACCTAGGTCTGTCTCAGAAACTCCATGCATTGCGGAGGATTTTGAATTCAACCCATGTGGGGCGCCAGAGCCTGGCCTGCTGCATCACACCGAGAGTATGTACTAAGAGTGCACTCAAGAACACAGCCACAAACTGTGACAAAGCTCAGTAGCAGTGGGCAAAGGGTCTTGCCTTTCAAAGCAAGCTTGCCCACTGCACCTGTTCTTCTCATTAAGGAAGCCCTAAGAGACTTCCAAGAAACAAGATGGAAACCACCAATCTGAAAAAATATCCCGCACATTCGCCGTAGTACATTTTGCACAACCTGATTTATAGATGAAAAATGGTTTCCGTGAACAACGAAAATTTTAGATCTTACACATGCTTCACGTATTTACGGGACATTTTATTCCACTTTCCCAGAATTGCTTAAAGCAACTTTTAAATCCATTTTAAAATTTGTATTTTATTCCTATTTATAATTCTAGCATATCAATTACAAAAAGTTACCAAGTAGAGACAGTAAGGGCTTTCCAACTCAACACTCTGTCCTGCAATACCTAGACTGAAGATTTGATCAAGAATTTGGAGCCGTTTGGCTTTTATTGCTATCGTCAAAATAGAAAAAAATAAACATTGGAACACACCTTGTGAAAAAAGTTGCAGTAGTCTCTTTTCAGAACATATATAGCTACTTCTCTTAGGCCCTCTAGCCCATACATGTCTGCAATGTTCAGTATGGAACTGGAGTAAAAGTAATAATAAAAATTATACAGAAGATAATCCTGCTTATAATGGAATCATTCCATAGTAATCTGCATCACATTAAGACAAGTGAATCTAAATGACTGCATTATCACTCATATTTTTTTGAAAGCCAAGTACACCAACATTTCCGAAGGGATCTAGTATACCAGTAAAAAATTAAGGTGTAAGCCTTGCAACCCTGTTATATAAACCTCAGATTGGTAATTCATGCTATACATTGTGGCAGTAAACATTTTTTCAGTCCCTTTTCAGCAGCCTTCTGGGGACACACGCCAGTGACAGAAGAGGCCAGAGGCAAAAGTAGATAGAACAATGAATGCACATTTATTTTTGTACGGGTGGCTAGTTTCCAGCATATACATGGGGCCTCTCTATCCTTTCACAGCCAAGCAAAAGGCATTACCAAAGTTCAAGGACTGAGAAGAGATAGGATAGCCATCTTCAAATATCTAAAGGGCTGTCGCATGGAAGATTATTATTATTATTGTTATTACATTTCTATAACACGCTTCATCCGAAGATCTCAGAGCAGTTCACAAGATGAAAATAGAAGATAAAAGCTCAAATAAATAGAACAAACACAAAAGAAAACAATACCCCCCAAGCACATTCTAAAGGCCACAGAATATCAGACAAAGGCGTGGTTGAAGAGGAATGTTTTTGCCTGGTGCCTAAAGATGTATAATGAAGGTGCCAGGCGAACTTCCCTGGGGAGAACATTCCACAAGTGGGGAGCCACTGCAGAAAAGGCCTGCTTTTGTGTTGCCACCTTCTCATGGAGAAGGCACATGAAGAAGGGCCTCAGATGATGATCACAGACTCCCAGTTGGTTTATATAGGGAAAGGCAATCCTTGAGGTATTTGTGGTCCTGAGATTCAGCAGGCTTGTTTTCTCCTGCTTCAAGGGGTTGGACTCAAACCAATGGATTCAAGTTACAAAGAAGGGGATTCTGACTAAACATCAGGAAGAACTTTGTGATGGTTAAGAGCTATTTGATAGCAGAACAGACTCCCTTGGAAGGTGATGGACTCTTCCTCCTTGGAGGTTTTTAAGCAGAGGTTGGATGGCTAAATGTTATTCACTTCCCTAGATGGTCTCCCACTCAAGAACAAACCTGACCCACATCTGTTTAGCTTTACAAAGTTTGCTGCATTTCTTCACGTCTTCATATAATGGAGAAATGGCACCTTGAATGTGGTGACTAGTCATTAGGCTTGGTAAAAGGGTTACACAGCATCCAGGAAGAGGAGGACTTAAAGAGAGCAAAGGTCATGGATGGGATTTTGGGTTTTGTGAGTGAGATGAATAAAAATGGCAGGTTTTCCAGACCCTTCATAGTGCAGCAATAAACAGTAACCCAAGTACCAAACATTTCCCCTCCTTCCCACAGAGTATCCTTCATCACTACTACCCCACCAGCTCAGCTGCCAAAAAAATACACCCCTTTTCGCAGTACTTCAAACATAATTAGAGTGCAATAATAATTATTCCTGGCACTCTTGCCATTTTAGTTTATAGTCTTTGTGACATACTTTCTATTTTAATGTGCAATGGTGGAAGCAGAACAGGCATGATATGCAATTAAAAATAACAAAACCTGACACATACCCAGCATCTGCTTTGTTTGGGAAATCCAAAACTCCTCCATAGATAAAATGCAAAATGACAGTCATCTCTACATGGTTTAAGCTGCAAAACAGAAAGAAAAATCATTACAGACACCAGCATCTGTGAAATAAAATAGGTGGTTCACGTTTTATAAACCCTAAGTGGTTCACCGAGCCCTGTCATATTATAAAACGAAACCGCATCAAGGTAAAGTAATACCACTAATGCAATCTAAAATTATACATGGGTCACATTCCCCAACAGCTAAAAATGTGAAAAGCTGGATTCTCACAAGAACAGCTTTACAAGAGCTCCAGCGATCTAGTCCTTGGCTACAACCCTGAAGCCTCTTATTTGCTAACCACCCAGGCAAGTGTGCCAACACTGCTTAGGAACAAGTGCTGTTAAGATTGTGCGATCTAAAGATTAAATTATCTTTATGAGATTCCCCATCACTAAAATGGCAGGGGTTGTACTTATTTTTAAGGCTTTCTGAAGAAATCTTCAGCAGATTAAAATGCCTTTTATAAGAGATTAAAACTAAGCCCCTCCAGAGATCAGAGGCAGATACAGACATAACAGGAAGATTCGGAACACATACCAAACCACAGTCTACTACTGCAAAAAGTGGTCCAGGAGTCATAGGTTCACATTTCCCCTCTACCCCATCTCCTTGCATACACACATTGGTGGGGGCTTCTATTGGTTGCCATATGTGGAATATTTTGGAATTATGGGGGGGGGGAAGAGATGTGTGTGGGAGAACCCTACACCCAAGTAGCTTCTACAGCTGTTAACTCATTTGATGTACCCAGTGTCCTCTCCAACTACATTTGCCTTGTCAATCTAATCTGGACCATGCTTGTCAGGGGTCAATATACAGAATACACAAAAGTACTGAGGAATGTGTATTTTATTGCAGCGAGACAAAGACAATTTTATCGTAGTGAACACAAACACCTGCGCTGGTTGCATGGATCTAGAATGCCACCCAGAGGGTGGCACCACTGAAGAGGCGATTTTCACCAAATTCCTTCTGCAGCCCTTTTAAGTCTTCCCTGCAAGGTCAGAGGACCATCCAGAACTGCATGATGAATCAGCAAAAGTTCTCTCTCTCGCCACCCGCTTCCTGCAGCCAGCACCTCTGCTGAATTAGAATGCTTTCCGAGAGTGGAAGGCGCCCTCTCGAGAATGAAGGGCAACTCAGAACGCAACCCACTGTGTTCCTGAGAATTAAGATTGCATTTTGGGGCACAGCTTCCAACGTGATAAACAGGAACAACTGTACATACTGCAACATGTGGCAACGTTAAATATGTTTGAGGAGCATTCAATAAAAGTGAAATTAGTTATTTTGGGTTAAATGACAAAAAATCAACACAGTTGTCTAGCTGCATGTGAACGCATGAGGTAGCCATAAAAACAGCACGAACGAGTAGCCCTGCTGCCTTGACAGCTGGTCTCTTAAACAGCATTTTCATTATTTCAGGATAAGCCATATGCACTGTACTCTCAAACGTTTATAACGGCAACAGGAAAATCTACAAAAGGGCAGGACAGTGTATAAGAAGATTTGCCACGGTGGCCCCAGATTCAATCTGGGCTTGCAATCCTCATTTGTGGGGCAAGCACAGAAGCCTACTGGGCCAGTTTGCAAACAATGACACACTAATTACCCTGTGTGCATAAGAGAAGGGTGCATGTAAGCCCAAGCTTTCTTCCAGACTTGTTCTCATAGAACAGCCATGTACTACACGTCGATTGCAAGCCCTCAGTGGACCGCGGGATTGTTTCTGGTCCATCGCAGGGCCTTTCTCTGCAACCTCAGATGCAGCCGCCGCCGCCAGTGTCCACAGCAATGCAACCCTGAGCAGCACGCGGTGGGAGACAGAGGAAGGTGCGAGGGAGATGGGGAGAAGTCTGCGCAATGCTGCTGGAAAAGGGGAGGTGGGCTTAGTGTGGGCAGGCACTATTGGGATCCACATCAGCTGTGCAGCTCCCTTTGACAGGGGAGAGACAGAGAGAAGCTGGCTCCTCAGACCTGTGCAAACTATCGTACTTTTCGTCCCATAGGACGCTCCGTCCCATAGGACGCACCTAATTTTTTGGGGGGGAAATACAGGAAAAAAATTCCCTTTATTCCCCCCCCCAAAAACCAGGTCGGGGAACAGAGGGATGGCGGCGCTGCGCCTCCCCGCTGTCCCCCGAGCTTGTGGGGCTGGCCGATGTCTGCCCGGTGCGCGGGGCGCTCTGCTTCAGGGCATCCTGCGCGCCGGGCGGCAGGCTGCTATCCGCAGCGTGGGGAGCCCTGCGGGAACTCCCGCGGGCTCCCAGGCTTGCTGATAGCTTCCTGAAGCCTGGAGAGCGAGAGGGGTCGGTGCGCACCGACCCCTCTCGCTCTCCAAGCTTCAGCGAAAGCCTGTATTTGCCCCATAGGACGCACACAGATTTCCCCTTCATTTTTGGAGGGGGAAAAGTGTGTCCTATAGGGCGAAAAATACGGTAATATAAAAATACAGTTTGACTTTTCTCACTTGTTTAGTTACTTGTCCACCTAGTAATTATTTGGATCTGTCATAAAGATATCCAAACATAACTACTGTATCTGTGAAATAATGATCCATCCATTTATTTACTTAACAAATGACTTCAGACGGTGGTAGATCACTGCCATTTTTTGATACTTGTTGGTAGATCACAGCCAACTTGTGGTTGGACATGCCTGTCATAGAACAAAACCATGATTTGGCATTCTTGCTGAACTGGATCAATGGGTCTTAAGCTCCATAATCAGAAATACTGAGACTGGTTACAACTGAGACAAGCTGGTGAAACAGACACCCCCTTGTCAAGAAATATAGGTGCTGCCTGACTTCCAGCCAGGACAATAGGAAAAGCGGTCACGGGCTTTATCGCAGATAAGATGCATCTGACTCGGCTGTGTCAAGAAGTGTCCCCAAGCTCCCAAGCAATCCAAAGTTCTAGGATGTCAATTGAGGGGGAAAAGCATCCAGCATCATACCATCAGGTATACAGAACCATGTTCAACATATGTAAGAGCAGAAGAAAGCTAGTTTTTATTGTCACTTCGTCATCACAGTGCAATGACAGCTTTATATCCCCACAGATGTGCACAGCAAACCTCATGTTTACTCAGAGGGAAATCTCACTATGCTGAGATGGATCTTATTCAAAGGGAAGGCTGTATAATATTGCACAAATTAAAAGTCAGAGCACCTGTACAAGGAATGCTCAGTTAATGCGTTTTCTAAGGTGACAAGGAAAGAAGATTTGGAGTTTTATGAATCCGTAATTCTTAATCCACAGTCAAGTGTTAAGTAATCCATGAACCAAGGCAGTCAGCTTGCTTTGCTATTCGCCATGTGCGCTGCTCTTATTGTAGAAATGGCTACAAAAACCTGCTTAAACTGTTAGACCTACAGTGACCAGTACAAGCCCAGTGACAGCTCCCAGGTAAAATGGGGAAAAGCCTCAAGAATCTGCACTCCTCGCTGGTGCACCAGGCCCCAACTCCCAAGTATGGTTGAGTAGTTGCCAGCCCTGATTCAAGGCTAACTAAAGCTTCCCTTAAACCAGGATATGCAATTTTGTAATGTGTCATTTAAGTGGGGTAACCACTCCCTAGGAAAAAAATCTCAATTTACATATAGACTGCAACAATCCTGCCAACAAGCACTAATTGATAGACACCCTGTACCAAGTTCTCATCAAAAAATTTACTGGCCAAGTGGTCTCACACATAACGATAGCACTAGTAGGAATACAGTGCCCCCATACATAACCTACCCCAATAACATCCCCGGGCGATGGGAGAGACATGGGCGACAAGAAAAACCTCTCCCCAGAGATGATACCCTTATTCCAGCATCGCAATTGTGGTTTTAAATGGGTTCCCATTAGCCTTTGTATCAGTGCTGACACATATCAGTGCTGTCGGAGGCATGATGCTCAACCGTGTGACGCTGCCCAACCTCGTCACCCTCACAAGCTGGCACCTCTGCCCCTAACTGTTCCCCTACAAAGAATTTGTTCCAGGGAGGCAAGACACAGCAATGTCTTTCCAACATTCCCTTTATAATTTGTTTACTACCCATCTAACAGGCCAGCAAGTCATGCTAAAAGCAGAGAAGGGATGTTACTTGCTCATTGAATTTAATTGCAATGCAGAACATTCCCATTTTTAACTCTTCCAGTTGACGGTTTGATGCAAATAGATAGATGCAGGTTCTCAATTCACAGAGGTTTCCCACTAACCCAAATTTAGGACTGTTGCTCAAAATATACTGCACCAAATAAGAGTCAGGACAGATTAATTTGAATTGCTTGGTATGCAGCATGGCTGCTCCGCATTTGCAGTGATTTTAAATTGTCTACCTTTACTCCCATACGACTTGCAAAACAACTTACCCTTGAAGAGTGATGTGCTCTTGAGAGCTTTCGGCCCAGCTCCCATTTAGCATAGCAGCAAAGTAACAAGATCTGGCACATAAAATGGCCCTGAGAGATGGAAGGGTGGGGGGGGGGAGTAAACATTATTCTACTAGATACAAATATTTATTTTAGGAAAGCTGCTACAAAAGGTTGAAATTATTTGCCCTTTACCTACTAATGCGTGTCTGCTCACTGCATACTTATTTCTCCCAGGATCCCTGGCAATTTAATCCAATTTGTCACAGAATGTGGAAAAATGCTACCATTCTGAAATGCCTCCAGTTAACAGCTAATCCACAATTCATTTTCATTATCCACAAAACAAGGCTGGAAGAATCTCTCAAATTCTTAGGCACCTGGGGTTTTCTCCCACTTTGAACACAGAACACCACTATTTTCCCCCATCACAGATCTTTCATCTTCCTTCCAAATGAGGAAATACCTCTTTTGAGGGCAGATCTGCAGCTTAACAGTACTTCAGCTATTAACACTCTGCAATTTTTTCAATATGATTTATTCTGGTAACAGTTTGCTTATTTATTTTGAGGACCAAGAGCTTTAAGGAGCAAGACAGCTGTATTCTTTTTCTCTTGCTCGCTAAACTAAGCCTTTCTTGCAGGAGGGGAATATTTAAAAACTCAACACGCTGTTGCTGAATCAATGCCAGTTTTCATCTAGTATTAGATTAGCTCTTCTCCATTGAAGATCACACATATTGGACTGTATGCAATTCAACCTACTCAGAGTAGTCCCACTGATATTAATGGACATGACTAACCTAAGTCATTAATGTCAATGGGTCTACTCCACTGACTCCAAATATAGCTTAATTAGATACAACTCACAGACATTTCTAAACGTTGTTCCACCCACCCGAAAAACGCAATAAGCTTCTTTTTTTAAAAAAAAAATGCTAGTCTCTTGAAGTACCTGTGCACTTGAAATTGTTTTCTGTCAATCCATATAGTAAGATCTGAAAACCAAGATTTCTTGCAGAGCATCAATAGGTCTTTTCCTAAGCAAGATGCTGTTTCTATTTTAGAATCATCTGGAACAAAGAAAAATGACTTGTTATGAGACCATCCTCCACCATAAGGTCCTGAAATAGAAACATATCCTAAAAGAGAAGCTCTGTGGAATTTCACATTAATAAAATATACAGCCTCAGTAACATAGGAAACAGGTAATAAAAAAGGATCTCTGAACATCTCTAAAACCTCAATCCCTCCCAAATGCATGGGGAAAGAGGTGTGTCTTCACTTGCTGACAAATGTTAACACTGGCGCTTACTGCACTTTGTAGGGGAGTTTATTCCATAGACAGGGATATACCCTGAGACTTTCCTCCAAGCACCCAGAACACCCTCAAGGCCTCCCCTGGAGATGTTAATTCACAGTCCGGTCAGTAAGAGTAGCATTGGGATCATGAGTTTCAGGGCCATAGTGTTTGCACTATGCTGTACCACTTGTTCCCAATATAAAGCCACCAGGTGTGGTCATTAGTTGTTTGGGGGCGAAGTGTCATCAATGGGCTGATGCCATTCTGCCCTATTTCTATGTAACAGCTGAGTCAGGGGAGGCTGTCCATGATCTGGAACTAGGGCTGGGCAATATATCCATATATTGTCCAAAATCAGTTTGAAGCCCATATCGTGATATCAGTTTCATAATTTTTTGACTTGGCAATATATTGCGAATCACAGTGTGGGAGTGCACTACGTGAAAATCACAATGTGGGGGAAACCGCAAAGCCAGCCAATGCTTCTCTCGATTCCTGCAGCCCCTGGTAACTCTGCCGGCTCACCTCTCCCCTGCCTTCTGCAAGGGGCAGCGAATCACAAGAGTAGACACCAGCAGAAATCATGATGCAGGAAAAACTGCAATGCCAGCCAATGCCTCAACATAGCTCCACCCTTATTTCAGACATGGTGATATATGGGTATATCTCAGTGTCTAGCTGGTGATATCACAATGTTGAAAACCAGATATCGCCTGGCCCTAATCTGAACAGTTGTGGGATGGATGAGGGTCAATAAATGGAGCTTGAGCCCAAAGGCATTATGGACTGGTGGTCCTCATGTCCGGGAAATGATCTGCAATCCTAAACCCACTTTGGGGAAAGATGAACTCACCAGGACTTCTGAAGAGACATGTGTAGGACTGCACTGTTACATCTTGCCTGCAGGCTTACAATATGCCTTGGTTGTTGTTTTTATTGATCTTGTGTGAGCCTCAGGGTACCTTTCCAATGGAAGAGTGGGCTAACAATGCTTTAAGCAAACTCCGTAATTCCACAAAATGCTCGGCACTAGAGCATCTCCGCTCTTACACAATAGGTGGGTGTAAGAGTTGCTGTGGCTACACATTCCTACAGTCCTGTCTAAACAACGCAAGGCTCATTACTCAGGAGCCAAGTTACAGCGAAGAATATTAAACTCGACATTGCAAGCGCAGCAACGGCAAACCTTGTTTCAGATGGTTAACAAACCCACACTGGCATTTAAGTAACAAAAGGAAATCCAAACGCCACCGGTTTAACCTCACCTGACACAACTGCATTGCCTTCAGCATCAACAGCAGCAGCAGCAGCTTCTTCTCCAGGAATTTCATTTGCAATAAAAGGGGAAGCAGCAGCTTCTGTTTCTAGGGCTCCGCTTAAGGAATACTGATAACCAGATGTCCTTTCATGATTTTCTAGGCACTGTCCAGCGAATAATTCACCATTCTGCAGATTGCTGACGTCCACACTTTCATGTTCCTTTGTGGAGCTAGGCTTTGATATTTCTTTCTTGAGAATCGCTTGCTCAGACTCCTTGACGTTTCCGGATGAATACACGACCCTAGGAAGAGAGAGCCAGGCTGTAATCCCATGCACATATATTTGGAAGGGAGTCCCACTGACTTCAATGGGACTTGCCTCTGAGGACGCCTGCAAAGAATCAGACTTCATAGAAAGTTTTATGCATTGCATAATTCAAAATGTGGTTTTGACTACCAGATCTCGTGAAGTTAGCAGTGCCTATCCTTAAGTAGTTATCCAAAACAAGTAGCAAAACAGAACCCTGCCCTACAATCGAAATCGAATAATACCACAATACATTGCTTTACTTGCCCTCCATCTCAATCATTTGGCGCCAAACACTAAAACCTAATTATATTTTAATATACAGAGTACTCAAAAATCCAAGACATTTTAAAAACAGCAGTTATCGCAAGTTAATTCAACCAGGAGAAAAAATATCTCCCAGGTACATCTTAAAAGTGTATTTACCTAATAGCACATCTGCTAGAGAAATAGTACTTTACAATGCAACATCCCTGAACCAAACCTGGTCCATGAGGCTTCTGCCATCTGGCTTCTTAGTTGTCATTCTAGAAATAAAGAAGGCAGCTTTAAAGGATGGGCAATTCAAGACCAGACCAGCGTTCCCAATCTCTCTGAAAGTAGCTGACGAAGGAAATTGCTGATCAAGAAACTAGTTGTTGCAGATTTGATAATGGGGGAAGAGCCACACCTCCATGGTACTGTAGATCAAAAGTTCCAGGTTTAATTCCCAGAATCTCCAGGTGAGGCTGGGAGAGAAATGTAGCAGGCGGGCGGGAAGGTGACGTCGGGACGGTGTGTGACTAACGCACGCACCGCCCCCATGCGACGTCACAGCCAGTACAGCTCCCGCCACAGTGGGGAGTGTCGGGGCGCACAATGCGCCTCCTCCCCTCGCTAGTAGGAGCCGTGGCAAAGGTGTAAAAGAGCCACATGCGGCTCCAGAGCCGCAGGTTGCCGACCCCTGACCTAGAATGATTCAATAGTTTCAGAAACTAGTTATTCTACAGGGAGGGTCCATGCATGCAACAAAGATTATGCTACATCTATAACCATTTTTTGTTTGCTTTTTCCCCCTGTGTTACTTTCTGGCCTATTTAAAAAGCAAACTCGCAACTGTGCATTGGAAAGAAAACCACATTATCCCAGCATAATCAGATTCAAGCAGACCTAGCGAGAGAAGACGTACATAAAATACAGGTGCATGTGGATATGCACAGAAAAAAAGCATGACCCAAACATGCCAGATTATAACTTGAAGATCCTGTGATGTAGACTTAGAATGAGCAGCCCTTTGGATCACTTCCTGGTTTCCCCCGCTAAAGTGTTCATTTACTGCCAATGATAACAAAAACAGCCTCATCAGTTCTCAAAGTCTTTTACAACAAGACAGACAAAATGCAACCTTCAAGAAAGCCATAAAGGGCAAGGGTGTTTAAAAAACAAGAAAAACAGGATTGCCTCTGAGTAGCTAAATAACTCAGGCTACTTTTTTTGGGGGGGGGGGAGACTTCCAGATAACTATTTCCTTGAAAGACTTGCTTGGCAATATGCATGAATTTATGGAGTGTTAAAGATTATGCTGTGCCCTTTAAGGCATAAACACTCTTGTCCAAATCTGTTCTGAAAACAACCTCCAGACAGACATTCTAAACTGTGCGCTGCAATCAGATGAAACTTGTCTGTATTTATTAGTCAATTTATAATAATTCCAGGAAAATACAAGATAATCTTCCTGCCTGGAAGCTGTAACACTCCGTTATCAGACAGTCATCTAAATTAAGGTTGCAAAATTCTTCTCCCCTTTGGGAGAGTGCGCTGACTGGACTGCTAAAATCTTGATCATCACTTGTGGGGTTGACAGGCTTTCCAACAACGCAATAAACAAATAATGACTTTGGCCTATGCAGGAAAGGAGAAATAGTCATTTCTACATATTCTGTCACACTCTAGCATGACCAATAAACTGATTGCAAGCTGTGAAGACAAGTCCAAGTTTGATTCTCATTGCCCAAGGGGCACAGGTTTATTCAACAGACCAAGTCACCCAAGGGCACCCACGTACTTCCTCCCATAGAATGAACAGCTGCTGTTCATTCTTATGTGGGAAAGTACAGCATTTGGGGGACGTGGGTGGCGCTGTGGTCTAAACCACAGAGCCTAGGACTTGCCAATCAGAAGGTCGGCGGTTCGAATCCCTGCAACGGGGTGAGCTCCCATTGCTTGGTCCCTGCTCCTGCCCACCTAGCAGTTCGAAAGCACATCAAAGTGCAAGTAGATAAATAGGCACCACTCCGGCGGGAAGGTAAACGGCGTTTCCGTGCACTGCTCTGGTTTGCAGAAGTGGCTTAGTCATGCTGGCCACATGACCCGGAAGCTGTACGCCGGCTCCCTCGGCCAATAAAGCGAGATGAGCGCCGCAACCCCAGAGTCAGCCATGACTGGACCTAATGGTCAGAGGTCCTTTTACCGTTACCTTACAGCATTCGGGGAAGGGAAGAACAAAGTCTATTTCCTTCCCCTCTCTTAAGGTGGCTCTAGGATTATGGGGAAGAGGACTTGTCGTTTTAAAAGTTTAACCCCACAAAATCTGCTCCCCCATTTTTGTTTAAGATTCCTTCTTCTCCTGCTGGAATGCTTCTTGCTGGAAGAGGGAGGAGAAGCAGCATCATATACCTCCTCTTTGGATTCTGGAGTTGTGTTTGGCCCATGAAAATTGAAACAGCTTTGGGAAAACAGGTCTGACTCTGTCCCATGCTCTACCTAAAGACACTGGGGTCAACCTTCTTTTTTATTTAAATCACTATTTACCCACATGCCTTGAATTACAAATCATTCTGCAGAAAAAGACAAGATGCAGGTTTTCTGTAAGATCACCCGAAACTCCTGGGAGCATACAGAGGCACCTTTAAATAGGGGGTCAGTGCCATGTTTTTGTGAACTCAGCCTCCCTCAGTCACTACCCCCCAAATGACATGTGCTTTTGCCTCTGAATCAAACACCCATTTCTCCTCTTTGCACTTCTCCACGCACATTTGACAAGCTGTCTCCATCTCTAAAAAAAGTAGCACCTTGCAGTTTATCCAAATACCTGGAGCAGATTAGTAAACCTGGGGAGAAAACAGCTCCCCATTCACCCTAAAAGACACATATGATGCAAAAGCTACCAACTGTTGCAACATAGTGCCCTCCAGATGTTGTTGGACTACAATTCCCATCATCCCTGACCACCGGCCATGCTGGCTGAGGCTGATGGGAGTTGGAATCCAACAACACCTGAAAGATTCCATGTTGGCTACCTCAGGCCTCTTGGGTTAGAACAGCAGTGCATCTTACTGTTCCCTTCCACTGCTCTTCCGCCCAAAGACTTAGTGAAACCTATAGAAACAATATTTAAAACTCTCCAAAGATCCTGTTAAACACACACACACACACACACACACACACACCCCAGCAGTCCAGCAAGAAACTGAATATAAATAAAGCATAAAAACTAACAGACCCAAAGAATCTAAAGTCAATTTAATGTGGCACTAAAAATACATCATTCTTGGCAGCAGGTAAGCTTCTCTGGGGAAGAGCATTTCAGAATCAGGAAGAGATGGTCAACGAAATGCTGCCAACTTTCCATCTCTGACTATCCCATCCACCTCAAGTTAAACACATACTTTTGCAGCAACTAGGCCAAAAAGACAAAAGGCGTTAACATGGGATGAGACAAGATTACAGAGAATCTCCTCCAGTTAAGAGCACAGGATTATTAACTAAGGTTTCAATTGAAATAATGAAAGCATAACATTTCAGCCAAAGAAATAAAGAGTCCGGAATCAACACCGGATTTTGGGTGATGGGGGGGGGAGGAAGGTTCCCCTGAGTGGAGGGGCCCAGCCAAGGGGGTGCAAATTTGAGAAGATCCATAGTTGAAGAGGTGTCAAATTTTGGCTTTGTACAGAGCACCATATTACGAAAGATTACCAAAGTCTGCTCCTGCCAGAATGACCCTTCTTTCATATACTTGCCCCGGCTAATATAACAGGCAGCTTAGAGATCTCTTACATCAGGGGTCAGCAACCTAAGGCCCACAGGCCACAAGCGGCCCATGGGGGTCGTTTAACCGGCCCATGGACCCCCACCGCCCGCCTGGGGACCTCGCCGCTTGCTTGGTTGGCTCCCGTGCGCTGCACTAAACTGGTGCAGAGCATAGCGGGGACTGCCTTTTGCGAAGCTGTGCACGCCTCCTCTGCACCGGAAAGAGCATTTGCGCATGCATGTGTGCGCGCATTCTGGCCCGCTGCAGCATCTGCGCGACCGTGAACCGGCCCAAGCCACAAAAACTTTGCTGACCCCTGTCTTACATGGTTACAGAACATTTGCAGCAAGATGTGGTAGCTTTTGAGTTAGAAATCCAAGTCCCTCTCTGCAGAAGGTGCAGCATGGAATGCATGGAGCATAACTTCTGCTGTCTGCAGACTGAAGACTCCTAGCAGCAGACCTGGCATGTACATAGAGGAAATTTAGCCATGAAAGTGACACTAGATGATGACAACGTTAAGGGATGGTTCACCAGCATAGTGCATATTAGCAGGGCAAGTCTGGGTTGCACAAGCCCAATGGACAGTGTTGGGCGGATGAAGCAAAAGGTGGCAGTAAATACCAATTACTGCAGGTGGGAGAGGCGAACAACAAGATGGGAGAGTTGTTGGTTTTTCGTGCCCCACAGAGGCATCCAATTGGCCTCTGCAGGAAAGAGAATGCTGTGTTAGATGGCCCTATGATCCAATCCTGTGCTTATGGACCTTCCACATACACAAAATAGCTGATCCTAGAATTTCTTCTGGATCTACTAGACTGAGAGCTACACTAGACATCTCTATTATGCAGCAGGAGGAAAACAAAACAGCTTTAAGACTTCCATGCCCCTTCTTTCAGAGACAAGGTATACATCACTTTGAATTTTTCCATTACAAACAAACAATAGCTTTAAAAATAGCATGTAGAACAGAAGCTAAAAGGAAT